GCCCCACCCTTCAAACCGAAACGCATTACTGCTTCACGGCAGAAATAAGCGGGGCGGTGGTGCCTACCCGTGCGGACTCACAAGAGGTCCTACCACCAGTAAAAAAAGTTTAACAATATTTGCTATGTGTATGTGCATTACTATAATTCTCATGTTGTATTTGTTATTTTAGCTGTTCTACACACACTCATCACTTTTAATTATTATTCTCATAATCCTCTCGCAGGTGTGCTGGAAGAGATTTCTTAAAGAAATAAGCGGCGCCTTTGTACATATTTTTCCTATTACTCTGTACTATGTCTTCTTTTTTGTGTGTACATAAATAAATAAATAAAAGAAATTGAGTAATCAAGTGCTTCTATTCGATGAAAGGTTCTTTGAATTGTTTCCGGAGAAGGAGCGTGAGAGACTGTATGCAGAGCTATCCAAGGACGAGAGACCCTTATAGATAGAAGAGCTATCCTTATCCTATATCCAAGGAATGCACTAGTAGCGTATTCGCGTCTTACTGGCTCATAATAATACCGCGTTTTAGCTGTGGGTACCGTCGGCAATCCTAAAAATCCTGATCAGGATAATCGGACAATTTTATTGAATTGTTGTTTTTCGATCGGTACTTGATGAGTATCCGAAGTTTCGGTTCAATCCGGCGCTTTATAGTAGATGAAAATCAAGTTCAAATATTCCCTTAAATTAATACAAAGTAAGTCAAGAAAAGCATGTCTAATTGTAGCGTAGCTCGTGGACATCAACAACATCAGGACCACAGCAAGATCACAGGCCTTATTTTGGACTTATTTTGAAGCCTAGTTTGAAATACGAAGAGGTTTGGAGATAATTTCAAGACCTATTAGTCCACTGAGTTTCTCGCCAGATTCTGATCTTCTCAGTGGGTTGCGATTCCGGTCCGATAGCTTATTTTGTAAAGCACAGGTCTTACTTGGACCATTGTTAGCAAACTCTCTTGAACCCGTGAGCTCACCTGTCACTACACTGCATTACATTATATTTGCACTGTACTGCACTCCTCATACAATATCAAAAACAAAATTAAACAATTCCATATGTATAATAATATGTTATATAATCACGGATGACTGTAATATGACAGAGTCATCCGCGACTGTAATATGGCAGTCATCCGTGACGCTATAAACTATCCGATTATCTATTAAGATCTATCTATCTCCGTGAACGCTTTGAATATCTGATTCCTGGCGGCAAAGTTAGTCGACAATACTCGACAAGCCACTTCTCTTCTTTTAAAAACTCCCATACACAGCTCTAGTCGCTATAGTGGCTCTTTCACAATACAAGCAGTGCGATTATGGAATTCTCTCCCTCAACCTATTCGTGCTAGTTCCTCTCTAGAAGTTTTTAAGAGTCAAATTAAGAAACATTTCCTGTCACTTTAATTGTATTTAAGTTATTGTTTTATGTATGTTTATTTATATGTATTTCTAATTTTTTTTTTTTCAAAGCTTAATTTAGTTGTCATGCTGTAATACCTTTTATATTGTACACTATTCCCCTCTTATACATCGTATTTCTCTCTGCTAATGGTTTGCTGAAAGAAAACTCATGAATGAGTTAAGCTCGCCTTTGTACATAGTATTTAGACATTCTTTAAATCTGTTTTTATTGTATTTTCTTTTTGTGTACAATAAGTATAAATAAAAATAAAATAAATAAGACCGCAAGATAAAACATGAAACGTAGCTTTAATTGAAGATTATTTTAATTGACCTTTTCTGATTTTTTAATTTCATTAATTTAATTGAAGTCATAGTGGCCTGAAGGATAAGACGTCCGGTGCATTCGTATGTGACGATGCAAATGTTCGAATCCCGCAGGCGGATACAAATTTTTTTCTAATGAAATGCGTACTTAACAAATTTTCACGATTGACTTCCACGGTGAAGGAAAATAAATAACATCGTATAATAAAAATCAAACCCGCAAAAATATAATTAACGTAATTACCCGTGGTAGGACCTCTTGTGAGTCCGCACGGGTAGTACCACCACCCTGGCTGTTTCAGCCGTGAAGCAGTAATGCGTTTCGGTTTGAAGGACGGGGCAGCCGCTGTAACTATACTGAGACCTTAGGACTCATATCTCAAGGTGGTTGGCGCATTTACGTTTGAGATGTCTATGGGCTCCAGTAACCACTTAACACCAGGTGGGCTGTGAGCTCGTCCACCCATTTTTTGTGAATCGTGTTAAGGATCACAGCTACATTCGATTATGGATACCGATCAATAACGTTTCATACTACGACTGAAAAACATTGTGTGAATTGTGGTTTTAACCTGACCGAGATTCAAAAGCATACATTGAATAAAAATACCTTAGGAACATCTCTCTTATCATCATTAATAAATTAAACATTAAGAAAAGAAAAGTTCTTTAAGTATCTCACAATCCGACACTTATTTTTATATCGAAAATTAACCGCAAAACTATTTTTTATAATTTATTTAATTTTTATAATAGTGGCGTCAATTCCAATATATTTTTTAAATATCTAATAAATTTAAGAGAGAGAATTTGAAGCGGTCCATTTTTATAGTAATATTTGACGTCCATCTTGGGCCCAGCACACTATGGAGAGTGGGCATTCCCCTTTCATACTCCTCCGTCTGCGCAATTTTCGTAATAAGGGATACAAAATTTTTGCTTCACGTATAAACAATTTTAGATAAGCCTCACGTATTTTATTTAAACAACTTCATAACTAGACGCGTATGCAAAAACCAAAAGCTATATAATATACTTATACCAAACTTCACTATTAATTTGATTAAATACCAAACACCGCTTCGTAATGCGAGTTAGAAGATTCCAATGATGATATTTACCCGTTATCTAAGGATTTATATAAATAGGATAAAAATGAAAATGTTGTCTTTAGTGTGCCATGCGGTGAGTCACGCTGAGTTATCTGTGTGAAGGTCGTATAGGCTTTCTAATTTCACGTCAACCTGTTCTGTGTCGTCTTTTTTGATGTCCTAGAATTATACCGGTCACCGCCCTCGTCGAACCCGTCGCTTGCGACGAAGGACTCGACGAGTGAACTAACCCATAGACACAGCCCACTGAGTTTCTCGCCGGATCTTCTCAGTGGGTCGCGTTTCCGATCCGGTGGTAGATTCTGCGAAACACGACTCTTGCTAGGGTTTGTGTTAGCAACGTCGTCAGGTTTTTACACGTTAGGGTGAAGCTGAAATAGCCTCTCAAGCCTATCGGCATAGGTAGGATTTTTTTTTACCTAGAGTTATACCACCACCCGTAGTGGCCGTGAGCCGACTAAGCGATTCACCGGAGAGTGGACAGCAGCATACTCTACGTAGGTACTATATCGGCGTTCTGGGTTCGCCGACCCGCACTAAGAGATATGACCTGTTGTAAGTCTGCACGGCTATTTACATATTTCTGCCGCGAAACAGTAATGCCTTCCGGCTTGAAGAGCGGGGCAGTCATCTATACTAATATAAAAATCTAGAGTGGTTTGACGCATGTTCCGTTATAACTACTGAACCATGCATCCGATTGATTTGAAATTTGTTATCCATGTAGAAAATACATGTACTTAATGGATAGGCTAATATTTACCTATATGAGTTTTAGACTCCCTACACGAGCTGCGGGGGCGTAAATGATGAGAATCGTTGTGGGGGCGTTAATGATCAAAAACGCTAAATTTAAAATTTCAGCTTTTATCAACTTATTATTCATTATTATTATTATCATGTACATTAACTACTATTATTATTAATTTTAATAAATTGAACTATTAATTTAATATTTTTCTGTAGCATTAAAACTTTGTTTGTTTTTTTCTAACCTAAACAAATTTTTACCAAATGTCAATTGACTAATTTAAAAATATATTAAAAACGTGTGCCGTAAAATGGGGTGAATAGAATTCACGACGTGAATGGAAATATTCTTGGGAGAAAATCTAAAACCCTGATTTGTAAAAACTGCAACAGTATTCGTACTTTTTAGAATTTTTTTTTACATTGTCAACACTTCTTCTTTAGTCTGACAACATTTGAATCATTTAGAAGAAAAAAAACAAAATGTGTGCAATTCACACGTGGTAGAAGTGAAACCTTCCAAAATTAAAATACAATTATCCTAAACGTCTTAAGTATATGTAAAATTTTGTCATTAGTAAATAATTGTAAGGTAGCGCCCTCTGTGAGTTGATATTTTAATTTCACGTATAATCCTAAATTAAAATTCACTACAAAAGAGCTTTCATACACACGTTAGTATTAAAAAATCTCACAGATGGCGCTGTATTAAATAGTATGTATATTTCTGTCTCACTCTTTGCTGGCTTCATCCTACACATTTTTGTATTTGTGTCTCTTACCTGTCGTTTTTTCCGTTGCATCCGGTTTGAAATCACAACGATTCTAAAGAAGTTTTCACTTCAAAAATTTTTTTTTTAGTGTTTATGGACGATACTTGTTAGGGTGATTCGCCCTTACAAACAGGCGTAAGGATGTACTTAGAAGTAATTTTATCAAACCAATTTATATATATATTGTTAACACAATAGGAAATGTTTAAAAACAAACGAATAATGCAAAATTAAGCATCAATTGAAAATACTCCAATTTGATGCTGTTTTGTTAATGTAACCACTTGTAAATTACGTACTCCGTGCGTGAAAATTAATTTAAGATAGGCTATAAGGTCTTGTAACCGTTGGCCGTTAACAAATTAAAAAAAAAATTAGAAGAAAAGTTTGAATTGAACTGCAACTGTTTTTTGTATGCGTTTTGTGCTCCTATTTATATAATATATTATAAATACATCGTGTTATTGACAGTAAACCCAGTTAATTTTGTAGTCAATTTTATTCTGTACAAATCGCAAAGGTCAGTTTTTTAATTAACTCAATTTTAATGGTAAATTAAATACAAACTTAACACTTGGAATAATTATTTGTTTTAGAGGTAAATAGAGACGACTGAGGGGTAAATAGAAACGACGAGCAGAGTGAATAGTGGCAAATAGAAATTGGCCACTATTTTGGCCTTTTCACCTAAGGAGGCGATAATTTAAAGTTCTAACTCTAACAGTGTTAAGGTGGTAGAATAGCATCAGACTCCCGCTATAAAGCGATTTTACTGTCAGAAACATATAATTTTGATTGTTTAAATTGGTTTGGATGTCCAGATTGTTCTTATTAACTCCGTTTTACGCTACATTTATTTACATTACGGTATATTTAATTATTTCCAATTATTTGTTTTAGTCATAAATGCCTAAAAAAGGAAAGTCCAAATTAAATTTGGTGACGTCTAAATCAAAGTATATGAAAGCCAAGCGTGCATGTGAAAGTCAAGATGAAACGGAAAATAGATTACAAAAAGAACAAAAAAGGAAACAAGCTTTACGACGAATGAATTCAAAAATTCTTTGTAAAGTAAAAGTTGAAAGTAAAAATAATTAATGTATGACCCCTCAGTTGATTAAAAACAAGAATAAAAATTAAGTTGTAAGGTAAGGTTGTAATTGTAAGGTATTATAGTGGATTGATGAATGTGAAGGCTTATGCTGTTCAGCTGGCGAAATAAAACTAGAACCTTTGCGACCAACTCCAAGAGCCATTAAAAATTTTAAATCGCTACTCGATGGAAGAAATGTAAAATCAAATGCATTTTTAAAATCTATCAGACCTTACAACAATGCTTTCCAAATGACATCATTTGGTGCAAATATTATAACTTTATACCAACTTTTAAAATTCAGGGACAAGTTTACCATTTGATAGCAGCATTGCTCGCTAAAATTAAGAGACATTATTCTATATCCACGTGCAGGCAGTTTGAAACGAATCATTGAAACTCACAGAGCCTATGATACCCTTCAATATCTATTGATCTTTTGCAGTGGAGAAGATAGGTATAACTTCAGCATGTTAGAGCCTGGACAACAGACGACATGAAATAAAAAAAATCAGCTTTGCAATTTTATTGTTACAGGCTTATGGTGACACAAAATGAATTTAATAGCTCATGTTGTTATCGCCAGATATCTAATAAATTCTGGGTTGATATGTACTCTAAAACTTAAAGTGAACAATTTCCATTAGCATAAGGTAAGGATTGGCATAAGATTCAATCCAAAACAACTCTGAGCTGAAAGCTATATTCATCTGCAAGATGCATTAAATGTAGATCAAAATGTTGATAATTTAGCTAGTTTAATAATAATTCTCCCTTATAGGTTTACTGGCGGTCCACTATGACACCGAATTCAAACTATACAGGAAGAAATAACTCGAGAACTATACGAAGGACAATCTTCATCAGACAGATGTGACATTGTATCTAGAATTTTTTAATTAAAAGCAAAAAAAATTGTTGTTTTATTAATTAAAGAAAAAATTAATTTAAGACGGGAAGGGGAAGTTAAATATTTTTTATAAAGAAACGGTACCTAATAATGACAATAAACAATAATGTTAATTTTAAATGTCCAGCGAAGCAGGTGGGTACAGCTAGTTATACTATAAAACTGATATTTAGAACCTCCATGACAACCTGGACTTAGAGTCCATCAGTAAGTAGATACTTAAGGGCTCGACGAGTAAATTAACCCTCAGACACAGCCCACTGAGTTTCTCGCCGGATCTACTCAGTGGGTAGTGTTTCCGATCCGGTGGTAGATTCTGTGAAGCACGGCTCTTGCTAGGGTTCGTGTTAGCAACGTCGTCAGGTTTGAGCCCCGTGAGCTCACCTACTAGTTAAGGTTCCGATGATATAGCCTCTCATGGCTATCAGCTTAGGTAGGAAAAAAAAAACTTCTAAGTGATTCCGAAATTGGACATCGCTCGAAATTTCACAATTGCCTTCTGCAGCTTTGTTGAGCGATCAAAAACCACAGCTCCCGGAGGGATAGCTCTTTAGTCGCTTGCCAACTTTAACGACGTGCTCCGACTTCGCCTTCGCCTTATATAATGTATGAAATATACGAAAATGTTATTATGTCCCAATTTTAATAACAAGAAGATAATTGTACGAAGTAATTTACCTATAGATTTAAAAATTTAATGGATTTCGTCAACTATGATCATAGGTTCTTTAGTTCTGTTACTTATGACAGTCTCTGCGTTTTGACGTCTATCAAAACAAAACGTGCATAAGTCACTAAACGCGTGTTCCATGCGGTACCTACTTAAAATAAACTAATCCTAAATTATTTGATTCGAAGCGAAGCTTTTTCGGCACAGTAAATTATCATTATTATTAATTTATATCCAAGTAAGTACTTATCCATGTACTATTTCTGTGGTAACATAATTCAATTTTTAGAAAAAATGTGCATAAAAGTAATTCAACGTGTTCTACTAGTACAATTTCAAAGGAAAAATCTCCAAAATATATTACAAATTATATAGTTTTACTGTTCAGTGTGACAATAACGAATAGTTTTGCTACATAGGTAATTTTTACTGTAAAAACTTCATATTTGTAAAATATAACCTAAAATATTATGTCATACTGTCACTGCTTCATAAGCGTGCTAAGACTTAGGTATTAGCACTGATTAAACAATATCTTTGATCCCCTAAATTAATGTTTGTTGTAACTTTTGTACCTTTTCCACTGTTTCCGTTGTAATATTTAAAAAACAACCCATAGATAAAAATTGAATGAAAAGTTGCACATGTGCAGCTAACAGACTGTGACAAGTGTTTTTTTATTTCCATTAAAGGCCGACACTTAAACTTCCCATCTGATAGTAAATTGTCACCATAGCTCACGGACCTCGGCAATTCCAGAAACACAGCCAAGCTGCTGTCTACTGAACTGAAAATAAAATACTTTTCATAAGTCTGTAGTCAGAATTTTTCGGGGAGAATATTAATTCCCTTCTGTGCTCTAATTTTTGGCTGGGTATTACAGCTACAAGTTTCTTTCTTAAAGCATTCAGTTTTAAAGATTGGAACAGCCATTATGCAATATGATTAAGACAACCTATATTTGAAGTTGTAGGTTGGTATTTGCAAAGTCTAAGGATCATTGTGGTCACTTAACTGAGGTAGTATATACTAAAATCACTTTTATTTATTACTAAAATGGAACCATGTTCGTTTGCACACAACTTCATAAGATATAAGGATGTTTATGGATAGTCAGACTGCCTAAAATCAGGTGGATTGTAAGTTCACCTATGCATCAACAGCATAAAAAAAATCATTTTCTTGTTATTAATTACCTGTTTGATTTTGAATTACAGAATGCAGAAACAAGTGCCTGCTAAAGGTAAAAAACGTAAAGCAAATACAAACTTAGTAACATCGGAACCTAAAAATGTGAAACAAAACTCTTTGGTTAACTCTGATAATAAAAATAGCATCTTAGATCCTAAAAATATTAACAAAAACGTTAATAAGAATAAAAATAAACAAAAAAATCAAAATACTGTTAATTTGGCACCTATTTTAGCCCAGTCTAATCTGGCAACTTCCACAGACAAAAATAACACTAAAAATGACACAAACATAAAAAAATTTGACAATTCTGGGAAGAACAAACAACAACAGAAATCAAAACCAACTCCGCTAGCAGAAAAAAACGTTATTGATGCAGGTGGAATTAAAATTGAAAACGACATTAAAAAAGAGACTGATTCGAATGCGGCTAAAAAAAAAAGGAGAAACAAGCGTAAAAAGATACCCGCACAAGCAACCTTGCTTAATGAAAATGGTATGAATGACTCGAGTGATGATGAAGACGTACCTGACAAAAGTATACCTCAAAAACAGACTCAGACTCAGAAACCTAAGAAAAATGTACTTAAAATAAATAATACACTGCCTGTCGTGCATAAAACTGAAAACGAAGCAGATGTGTCTAGTGACGATGAAGCCCCACCTGCAAATGACAAGAAGAGTGCCAACTTACCTGACGCAGTGCAGAAGAAGAAGAAAAATAAACGCAAGAAGAAGAATGCGGCGACCAAGGTTGAAATTTCAAATGGTAATGAATCTTCAAATAACCAAGGAGAAAAAACACCTCAACAAGCACTTAAAAGTAAGAAAAATAAACAAAACATTGCAAATGGCAAAAATACTGAAGAATCCAGTGAAGATGAAGACTCCAGTGAAAAACCTCAAACGATTATAAATCAAAACGGTAAAGCACAGTCATCAAATGCATCTTCAGCGTCTAGTGATGAAGAACCACCGAAAAAGGATGGTAAAGTCAAACTGAACAATAAAGATATAAAAACGGCCGCCTTGTTGAAGGTTAAGCATGAGGCAGACAAAATAGATATGTCCGAAAGATATCCCATATTGAAAGATCAAAAGTTTGTGGAATCTTTCATGAATGTTAAAATCACTAACGGTCAGAAAGGTGAGTTATTCTTTTAAAGACTACTTTTACTAACTCAAATTAGTATAGCAGAAGGAAAACTCCATTTGGAGCTTAATTTTTTTAATAGCAGTTGCAAAAATATTACTTTGGTTGTTTTCCGAAAACCGTACTTAAGTTATAAAAAAATAAAACTTATGAGTGATTTGGAAGTTTAGTAAATGAAATTGTAACAGAAAAGTACACAATACAACTAAATAGCTAGTAAACAAAAACAAAAATTTTTTTTTTAGGTCGCATAAGGCAAGCCTTGTTTAAACAGTTCAAAGACATACCAGACGAACAAAAACCAGACCTAATCCATGCGAGAATTCAAGCCATGATCAAAGGAACTATCATGAATGATTCACAATTACGCAGAATTCGGATTCTATATAATATGCTGAAAGAGACACTTAAGAAGCTGGGACACAAAACTCCTGTCGTAGAAAATTTAAGTAAAGAGAAAAAGCAAAAGGTTTCCAAAGAGCAAGAGAAGGTTAAGGGGCCAAAGAGATATGTGGTGTTTGTAGGAAATCTACCAGTGGGAATTCAAAAGGAGAGAGTATGTATTTTTAATACGCTTTTATTAGCTTCAGACCTATGTATGTAACGGAATCTTTGAACATGATTTTGTGACCCCCTTTCAAACGTCGGATTAACTCGAAATTTGGCATACTTAATAAAGACCAATGACAATTCAATTTTTAAAAAAAAAAACAAAAAAAAATTTAATTCAACTAAAAAAATAAAAATATGTAAATAATAGCTTAAAAAAACTAACAAAATACGTTTTTATAGAAAATCCAAATAAATAGATATTTTTAATGCACATAAGTACAATGGCGGACTTAATGCCTGAGGCATTCTCTACCAGTCAACCAAGGGTGGTGTAGAGAATCCTGTGGTAGGTGCATAACTTAATGTGAAACAACCAAACTGCATTATACAATATACAAACACATACACGGTATATATATATAAATATAATATATATAATCACATAAACAACATACACAATTTTATATCATGATAATAACATAAAATTTACACATATATCTATGTACAATCTCTATCATATACTCACATATTCACATACATATTCATATACACACTTAAACACAACTTAAAAATAATTCAAAGTTATTAAAATTTATTTCTATGTTTTAGTTGAATTTTCTATAGAAGCGTATTTTGTTAGTTTTTTTAAACTATTATTTATTTATTAAAATACTAGCTGACCCGGCAGATTTCGTACTCCTCAATCGATAAATAAAAGACCTAAGCTTTTGTATAAAATAAACTTAAAACAAACAAAAGGAGTCCGTCCGACGGAGGACACATCAAAAATTGTATTTTTTTTTAATTCCGAGCATTTTCATATTTATCTACCTTTTAAACCTTCTCTGGGGTTTCACAACTAATTCAAGATCAAAATTAGCCAAATCGGTCCAGCCGTTCTCGAGTTTTAGCGAGACTAACGAACAGCAATTCATTTTTATATATATATAGATTAACTTTAAACAGTATTCATCTACATGTTTACAATAATATCGAGGGGTGAAAGGCTATTTGGTTGAAGGGATATTTCGCTTAATACCCATCATTTATCTTATCTATTGCAAATCAATTCTTAAATGTCATCTGAAAGACCTGGTACATTACTAGGCAATCTGAGAAGGTCTGTTTATTCCAAAGCTTTATTTATTATTTCTTTTCAGCTTACACATCATTTCTTAGACATAAGTGACAACATTAAGGACATCAGATTGCCTGAAACTCCAGAAGGCAAGAAAGCTGCAATTGCCTATATCGAACTAGATAATGAAACAAGTTATGAGGTAAATTTTATTATTTTAATTTTTCTATACCAGTAGATGGTTACATTATTGCGTAATTACTGATTTTATGACACCGACACTGATAGTTCAATGCCCTACGGTCTTATGTGTCAACTAAACTCAGTTTAGAATTACAAAATCTTTGAGCTTAAGAATGTTGTCATCATATTAATAAGTTTTATTGTTATTAAGCGAAACATAACGCGACAAACTCAGCCAGCTCATGTCTGAATTAGTCGCCATGGGAAATGTTTCAACCATAACTTTTACTAATTTATTAAACATCTCTTTAGCTGGCACTGTCAAAGAATCACACAATGTTGGACAACAGGAGAATCAACGTACAGTATTCCGTGCAGAAGAACAGTAAAATAACATTAACCGAAGCCAAGGTGAGTTACAATTGTATGTGTATTCATTAATTTACAATAATACAGGAATGATAATCATTTATTTAAACACCATTTAGTTTAGTTGAGTTTAACCGCAATATAGACATTAGTGTAAATACCAATTGTAACATTGTAACCGTACCTCTTTTCAAACAAAATGAAAACTTCGCAGTAAAAATATACAGAGCGGTGTTCCCTAGACATGCGGTTTCAGTATACGCTCTGACAGTAGTCACGCAAATTTATAAACCGTGCCAGCTCTATTTTCACACACATATATTTTTGTGGCCCTATAAAATACCTTCTTTTTTTTTTAGGGTAAATCAGCGAAACTGTTGGCCTTACAGAAAGCTGGAAAGCTTATCGGTAGCGTCCCGCTGGAGCAGAAGCGAAGTCAACGTCGTAACAAGATGAAAAAAATGCGCGCTGAAGCCGAAGCTACGGCGTGAGCTTAAATACAAACCGGTGTAATGGAACCGTTACCAGACGGTACAGGCGGCGCTTCTGAACTAATAAAATATCTCAAATAGATACTAGTGTACTGTAGAGATGCATCATTCTAATTAACTTAAATTATTTAAGCTAAAATGAAAAACTAAATCAGATTCAACAAACTCAAAAAAAAAAACGATAAACTTCTTCTCAAGATCTTTACATGCATTGCACATGTTAATACATTATAATGTATCTCAATAATGTTATTGTTTTTGTTATCATTCTCCGATATATATAGAACATAATATGTTATTATATTAAGCTGTTAAAACGTGACGAATGTTATAAATCTATGTAATAATTGTGTTGTCAGCTGACTCGAGGTCAACGCCCCATAGTTGTGTCAAGTGTTGTATGACGTGTTGAATCCACAAAGTCTGGTACCTTTATAGAGATATGAACTTGATATTATAACTACATAGCCATCTAATCTGTTATGTTTTTATTAGATTTTATCGCAAGTTCGATTTTGGCAATGGTTCCTTTAAGTCCTGTATGATTTTATAAAATTAACTTGAAATAAATATTTATAGCTTATAAGTTAAGTTTGATGTTTTATTTGAACGTGGTCAGGTCCTTAGCAATAAGAATAAAACAACATTTTCACAAAATTACGTATAATTAAATAGGTTGCTCGGATTAATACATGTTTGCCTTTATAAATCGGGGCCATACGTCTCTTATGTAGTTCTTAACGATAGGAAAACGGAAAAATAATGAAACCAGTGGAGAGTGTTTCAAAAATTATGTATTTTATTCATATATATAGTTTATATATTTTTATTTATAATTAAAAATGAATCGCACACATTAACGTTACACTCGCGTCTCGCAAACTCACTGTTCACGATGAATTGACTAAGAAAATAAAAAATACAAAAAATAATAATAATTATGATTTAAGGAAATCGTTAAGTTTCTTGGCAGCATTGGAAGCGGAAGTTAAAAAAATAGAATCATTTTAAAGTTTTTAAATTATAAACGAAATACATTTGAAATAAAAAATCAAATCCTATTCGTACAATCTGCATTCAAACACTTGAGTTATTTATAGAACAACTAATCAATTGAAAATAAATAAATTATGAGGAAAAAATTGCGAATTATAAGTACCCTATTCTTTATTTGCCAATAACAAAATTAATTAAGAATGCAATAAATAATTGGTAATGGAATATAAATAAATGGACTAAGCTTAAAATTGTTCATAATATTGCTGTGTTTCTCATCAATCATTAAAGTCACCAAATAAGCTTTCGAAAAATCATGTTCCAGATATAAAAAAAATAATAATTACGTGGAATGTGTTTGCATTAAAACGGAAAGAGAGACACAATTATTTAGTGAAATTAATAAATGAAGAAACATACATAAGCCATTGAAAAAATAATAAACGAAAATTATATTATAAAATAAATTTCATTAAAAGAATTAATTATAGTAAGTGACAGTTTGAGAATCCAATTACTATTATAAGTTAGCTTCGAAGAGTGAATTTGTTACATTTCATTCGTAATCCCAAAACCCAAATATCCGGTTTCATTGATTTTTTAGTTTTAAGAAACACATTTACCACCCCGAAGGGTTACACTATAGAGCAGGCAGTTCAGCGAACCTACCGCGCCAAAGTATTCTTTGAGAAACTAAGGCCCTTGTAAACACACCTCCGTCCCGATTAGGCCCTAAACTACACTTAAACTCTTACTAGTTACTAACATTATAATTGCTAATACACAAAAAAAAAATCCAATTACACAATAATTTTTATTTATACAGGTTTTTTTAAATTTTTACAAAATCGACTCTACGGGAATAAACTGGCCAACAAAAATAATAAAAAAAAAAAAAACTCGATTTATTTATTTAAGTAATTTTCGTGCGTCGATCGATCGCCCCAACAAAAATACTGTTTCGTTGCTCTAAGCGAAATTATTATTTAATTTTTTTTTATAATAATAATAATAATAATAAAATAATATTAATATTCGAAATGTCAAAGGATAATTCTATTAATCAGTTTCCTATATACTAGGAACAAACATAGGCTTGCGTTACCGGCGGCTCGAATTAAGAAAATAAGCAACTCTTTCAGGGGGCTGGGTGTACAACTTTTCAACAAGATCCCACAAAACGTTCAACTACTACCTGTTCATAGATTTAAGAAAACTGTCAAGGAACGTTTGTGCAACAAGGCATATTATAAAGTTAAGGATTTTTTACTAGATGGCACTACGTGGGAATGAGGCGTTCGCTCCTGGCCTTTTCATTTTTCATTATTATTATTATTTATTTGAATTGTATTTTTTTGACTTGTCTTTTTGTATACTGTAAATATGTTTTCTTGTTTAAAAAAAAAAAAAGAAGAAAATAGTTGAGAAAATACATAAAAAAGCCCGCCGAGTTTGTTTCGCCGGTTCTTCTCAGGACTGTGGCTTTTTTGGAACCGGTGGTAGAGTTAACATTTTCTTTTACATTTTGACATTCAACAAGTGTGTTTTTGATGACATCCAAGTTGAAATAAATGATTTTGAATTTGAATTTGAATTGAATTTGACTTATAAAATAGATCTCGGTCTAATACTTTTTTTTAAGACTTACATATTATTTATTTAATATTTACAGTCGGTTAGTTACAAGCGCCGTATTCGTCTATGTGCGTTCGAAACATGTACCATGAAAAATATTATACATGAGATTCTCATTGTCATCTGTGAACCAAATTATGCAAATTCAGGACTATTCTATGCGAAATCTATTGACTTTCAATTTTAGAAAAAAAAAACGGAGGTTTCACATGTTTAATCTATGGTTTTTTTTTTTTTAAATGAAAAAACATGTGCTATGGAATGTCTATATACCGTCACGGCGGATATAATCTGATGCGGAATGGACTGAGCGAAACAAATAAGAGATCTTAATTTTATTGTCATTGTTAAGTGTGTATAATGTATTATTAAGAGAAACAATATGGATTTTATTCTTGAATAATTATAAAATGAGATTTACTATTAAACCGTCTCAATGAAAATGAACGTTCCCATCACTATGTCATGTCGTGACTTTTCAACTAATTGTACACATAGATATTTTTTTATTTTTGTTTTTTATTTTTTTTACAAAACAATATAAGATTTTATTAATATTGTTTCGGTATAATTGTAATTTGTCGACAATTGAATATATTTATTTTCGTTTTCACATCGATATACACATTAGGACGTAGGAATACTAAATAACGCTTCTAATGCGTTAATGTAATTTCGTATCTACAGACAAGAACTGTCTCTTTCTCGCTAATCGTATTACAAAAGCGAGTGAAAGCGACAGAAATACAATTATTTTAGGACATCTTCGATGTTCACCCGTCTACTGTGGCTGCGGCTTTCAAAATACCAATAAAACTTTCCTAGTTAACTCTCCCTTTAAAAAGCACTGGTTTCAAGGGTCGCACAGGTCGGTACCGTCATCCCGCCCATATTTGCCACGAAGCAACCGTATAGTAGTAGCTCTTGAAGAACTCATATTTCTCACTCACAGCCCACCTGGTGTTAAATGGTTAATGGAGCCCATAGACATCTACAACGTAAATGCGCCACCCACCTTAAGATATAATTTCTAAGGTTTCAGTATAGTTACAACGGCTGCACCGCCCTTCAAACCGAAACGGATTACTGCTTCACGGCAGGCGGGGCGGTGGTACCTACCCGCGCGGACTCACATGAGGTCCTACCACCAGTAAGTCTGATCTGATATCGGTGGCCACTTAACAGCGGGTGGGCGGCGAGTTAGTGCACCCGTCTGCGCGACTAAGCACGCCTGCGCCAGTCGACAACGCGTCCGCGTTTGAGGTCAGCGTTCTCCGGTGAGGTTTTAGCTTTGGGTCCACTTCTCCTCGAAGAACTGTCTCATGTTGTGTCCGGCGCGCCCCACCGGGCTGTAGTCCTCGTTGAATACCTCGCAGTTGCTGAAGATGAGGCGGACGTCAGAGGCGAACTCCTCCTTGCACTTGTACCTGGTATCGACAAACATGTGTTGTATGAGACATCCTTCAAAAGAGGCTCACGGAGAGTATTAAGCTTCAGCAGCGGCTTGGCCCCTGCTGGAGCTTAATCTATATATATATAAATGAATTGCTGTTCGTTAGTCTCGCTAAAACTCGAGAACGGCTGGACCGATTCGGCTAATTTTGGTCTTGAATTATTTGTGGAAGTCCAGAGAAGGTTTAAAAGGCAGATAAATATGAAAATTCTCGGAATTAAATAAAAATAATAATTTTGTTTTTCCTTTGATGTGTCCCCCGTCGGACGGATTCCTTTTGTTTGTTTTAAGTTTATTTTATGCAAAAGTTTAGGTCTTTTATTTATCGATTGAGGCACTACGAAGTCTGCCGGGTCAGCTAGTTTGATTACTAAAAGTCGCTAAAAAGGGTCGTTCTAGGTCCATGGTTTGAATTAAAGACGAAATCCAAATATTTCAAAATGAGTCTCTATAATTTTAAAGGTGCGATTTGACGTTAATACAGATCTGCATTAGGACTGAAGTCTGGTCCTGTCTTGAAATAATTACGCCCTATTAGTCTATGTATAGTTATATTTACTGGTGGTAGGACCTCTTGTGAGTCCGCACGGGTAGGTACCATCACCCTGCCTATTTCTGCCGTGAAGCAGTAATGCGTTTCGGGTTTGAAGGGTGGGGCAGCCGTTGTAACTATACTGAGATCTTGGAACTTATATCTCAAGATGGGTGGCGCATTTACGTTATGGATGTCTATGGACTCCGGTAACCACTTAACACCAGGTGGGCTGTGAGCTCGTTTACCCATCTAAGCAATAAAAAACAAAAAAAAACAATTAATTATAGTCGAATTTAGACTACTGCGGGACCACTACTTAATGTTAAATCCGGCCCTGGCCCTATTAGTCTATGTATAGTTGCACGTCCGCTGGTGACCTCCGCGCGATACGTACGAGCTGTCCTGCAACTTCTTCTTGATGGTGGACAGGTCCATGGGGCACTTGATGACCTTCTTGTACTGCGGGAACTGCTTGTTGTTGACCGGCAGCAGGAACGGCCACGCGTGCTCGTGGCACTCCATCTCGCAGAGCAGGTTCCTGGGAATCACGCATTCTTTATACTTTAACCTATCGTTTGTACAGTGACGTCATTATTTTAACGTGAACACGACCCTTCCATTAAACAGTATGTTCGTGATTTAGCCAATGAACACGTCATTTCGGATGCTCCCAATGCACTCTCAGTGCTTTTAAGCACTCCAAGCATCGGTCATGGTTCTTCGTACAACTGAACCCATTGAGTTTTTAGCGTGATCTCCTCAGTGGGTCACGATTCCGATCCGGTGGTAGATTCAGCGAAGCACTACCCTTTCTGGTGTTAGAAAACTCTCCAACCTAAGCCCCGTGAGCTCGCTTACTTGATTGGTAAAGATATCATAACCTCTTGAGGTCACCGGCAGTTATATACTTGACTAAACGAAGTGTCTTTTTTTTCCTACTTAAGCTTATAGCCTTGAGACTATATCAGCGTCGCCTTAACTAGTAGGTGAGCTCACGGGGCTCAAGCCTGATGACGTTGCTAACACGAACCCTAGCAAGAGCCGCGCTTCGCAGAATCTACCACCGGATCGGAAACGCGACCCACTGAGAAGATCCGGCGAGAAACTCAGTGGGCTGTGTCTGTGGGTTAGTTTACTCGTCGATGACCGAGCGTTTCGTGAACGCCTCGCGCGACCTCAAACGTGCCCCTGCCGACGTCCGACTTGTACGATAATCCCGAGTAGAGTAGAGTGAGTCCACTCAACATACAGAGGCACATACTTGCAAAACTGTAGTTCCTTTAAGAGTTTCTTGGCCGAATTCTTCTCTTTCTTGGCTCGGGGAGGCGCCGGAACGTTTTCAGTGTCTCTGTCTTCGCCTGCGGATAGAATTTTAATTTTTTTATTGGTTTGATAGGTGTACGAGATCACAGCCCACCTGGTGTTAAGTGGTTACTGGAGCCCATAGACATCTGCAACGTAAATGCGTCACCCACATCGAGATATAAGTTCTAAGGTCTCAGTATAGTTACAACGGCTGCCCCACCGTTCAAACCGAAACGCATTACTGCTTCACGGCAGAAATAGATATGAGGACTCATAGTACATGAAGTAATTAATTTTAAATGTGTTATGAGTAGACGAACTCACGGCCCTCTTTGTTTTAAGTGGTCACTGGCCCATAGACGTGATAACGCGAATGCCGCCACTTACCTTGAAACATGAGGTCGTGTTTTTATTATGTAGCACGGGCTCGTCTTATAAGAATGGTGATAGCTTTTTATTTTTATAGGTTAATTGGTTGAATGAGCCCACGGCCCATCTGGTGCTAAGTGAACACTAACAACTTAAGTGTAATTTTGAGAAATCTGTTTTGAGTAGATTCTACCGCACACATCACAAGGGCAATAAAAAAAAAAACATCTAACCGAAACGACTGCTTCGCGGCAGAAATAGGCGGGACGATGGTACCTGGGTGCAATGTTGAAGCGTTGGCTCCTCCTCGCACTCGGCAATAGGATCCAGATTATCCAGACCTCAAAGCATTACCTCACTTTTGAATTCCATTGCGCGTTTTTATTACTTTTGAATTCTATTTTTTTTTTTTTTGATTGATGTACGAGCTCACAGCCCACTTGGTGTTAAGTGGTTACTGGAGCCCATAGACATCTACAACGTAAATGCGCCACCCACCTTGAAATATAAGTTCTAAGGTCTCAAGGACAGTTACAGCGGCTGCCCCACCGTTCAAACCAAAACGCATTACTACTTCACGGCAGAAATAGGCGGGGCGGTGGTACCTACCCGTGCGGATTCACAAGAGGTCCTACCACCAGTGATTGCGCGTTTCTATTACTGCGTTTAGAGATTAAGATCGCACTCGATAGTAAGCGGTCATAGCCGTCAATAAAGCCATTGGCGCATCGAATAAAGCCATTGGCGCATCGAATAAAGCCATTGGCGCATCGAAGCTAGTCAATAACACTGTCAACGTACTGTCGATGCTCTGGTCGTCGTCGTGGACCGCGCCGTTGCCGCCGACGTACTGGAGAGATCTCCTCTTCTCTGGCGGCGGACCGTCTTCAGGTAGATCTGCTGCAGGCGCTAGTAAACAATCGTTACATGAGTATATTTGTTTTCACGGAAACCAAATTTTCATTTATAGATAAAACCACAAAATGGGCGGATTTATTTTTTTTGACAACGAAATCTTTTGCCTTGTGATTACAATTCAGAAAAACGTGTCCTCTATCATAGATAAGTCAGTACAGCTTTTTTTTTCCTACCTAAGCTGATAGCCTTGAGAGGCTATATCAGCGTAACCTTAACTAGTAGATGAGCTTACGGGGCTCAAGCCTGACGACGAGTACAGCTATGGTTGTTGTGGGATAGGAGATATTCGACGATGTCTGAATCGCGCTAACGAAATTTACAAATATACAAATCTATACATATAAATAATGGATAACATGAATTTATATAAGGATCTTCTCAGTGAGTCGCGTTTACGATCCGTTGGTAGATTCTGCGAAGCACGGCTCTTACTAGGGTCAGTGTTAGCAACACTCCGGTTTGAGCCCCGTGAGCTCACCTACACACGTTAGGGTGAAGCTGAAATAGCCTCTCAAGGCTCTCAGCTTAGGCAGGAAAAAAAATTATATACGGTACATAGACCAAAATAACATTTTTTACAATTTTGTCTGTCTGTCTGTTTGTTCCGGCTGGACCGATTTTGACGGGATTTTCACTGATAGGTAGCTAGCTGATGATATAAGGAGTAATTTAAGCTACTTTTTTAGACTAGCTTCGCGCCGCGGCGTCACCCGCGATTCAAAAATAACCGCGGGTAGCATCACGGGACTCGGCTAGTTCCGAATAAAAATATTAACTCGGTGGAAGAAATTTTCTCAGTGATGGCTTATATTGGATACCTTTCAAAATTTGCCATAGAAAATCTTTTGTAATATTTTAGTGGTTTGTGACGACACTTCCCTAACGCCTCAGGATGTTGATCAATTAACATTAATTAATTCAATTAACAGAATAAAAAAGTAAGTTCAAATATTTTTAGGTGAATCGATTTGGTAACGATTGTAAACGCGTCCCACACTTATAGTTGGATGGTTTGTCAGCTTGTCTCCAAAAAGAAATAAAAATACATTTAACTGAGCCGCATGCTCTCAAAGTGCGTCATCAAGACAAACTCGTATTGTACGTAGTACATTTCCGCTTATGTTCTATTGGCGACACTGATGTTGTGAGGCTGACCAGTAATGCAAGCGTGCGTGCAGTCCCGCGGCAGGTCGGCGGCGTCCGGGGCTGCGCCCTCCTCGGCCGCGGTGGAGGAGGACGCGTGGGAAGGCGCCGGGCTGCAACAGGGAATCCTCGTCAGGACAGCATCACACAACAACATTCCTAATGGGTCCTTTACAATTTCAACCAATCACTAGTGGTTTTTATTGTAGTGTAAGTAAATTTTGATCTCGGATTATTTTTTAATTATTAAAAAATTTAGGATTTTTTTTAAGATTATTTGACGGTAGTTTAGCACAATACCAAAATGTCGATAACACCTCAGTCGTCCGCCTACGAATACCTTATAGTGTTCTTTATTTTATTTTATTGCTAGATGGTTGGACGAACTTACAGCCCACCTGGTGTTAAGCCCAGAGACAACTACAACGTAAATGCGCACCCGCCTTGGGATATCAGTTCTAAGGTCTCAGTATAGTTATAACAGCTGCCCCGCCCTTCAAACCGAAACGCATTATATTTCACGGCAGAAATAGGCGAGGTGGTGGTACCTATCCATGAGGACTCCCAAGAGGTCCCACCACCAATAATTACGCAAATTATAATTTTGCGGGTTTGATTTTTATTACACGAGGTTATTCCTTCACCGTGGAAGTCAATCGTGAGCATTTGTTAAGTACGTATTTCATTAGAAAAATTGGTACCCGCCTGAGATTCGAACACCGGTGCATCGCTCAACACGAATGCACCGGACGTCTTATCCTCTAGGCCGCGACGCCTCCTCGTACAGTATCGGCGGGGGTTCCCCTCACCTGGGCGCCATGCTGTGGTCGAGTTCGAGGCTGCTGTCCTTGTCCTTGTCTTTGTGCTTGTTGTCTCGTTTCTTCGCGTTGCGCGGCTTCTTGGGCGGCGCGCGCGATATGCAGTTGTTGCAGTACCACTTGCCGCGCGGGTTCTGTAGCACGAATCGCAATTTATATTAAATACACATAATGATTGAGAATGAATGACAAATTTTTGAAGTTATACTTCTTTAGAGGCGCGTTATGAAAAATTGATGTGAGTGAAATTTCACGATGCGCGCGCACCGTGACACAAAATTAACAGAAATGAAGTTGCTCACTAAATCGCTCATTACAATACGACCGACGTAGCTTGACGAGTCTGAATATAGCCGCAGGTGAACTTTCCGAACCGTACCGAGAATTACCGAATTTATACGATGTCAAGAAAAAGGATGTCCAATATGTGTGTTTGAGGATGTTGTTTAATCGTTTTTTTTTAATAGACTAAAATTTAAATAAAAAAAAAATTAATAAAAATAAAGTATAACTTCTTACGCGCGTACATAAGTACACGCACCCTTTTTTTTTTTTAAGTGAAACTTCTTTAGAATCGTTGTGATTTCTACTTCCGAAAACTTTCACGGCAGTTGATTAATATTCGAATTTAAATAAGGACTCAAAACGCTAGAAATAATGTATTCTAAAACCGGACAATCCGAAAACGAAATCTCTATTATCTCATATCTTTAAACTAGCAATTCTTGTATATAAATATATGTATATATAATCTGAATCTCGGAAACGGCTTCAACGATTTTCATAAAATTTAGTATACAGGGTATTTCGGGGGCGATAAATCGATCTAGCTACGATTTATTTTCAGAAAATGTTGTTTTATTCGCGTTTTTAATAATCAACATTATCGATAATTTTGATTTTTTCTTTAAATAGCCATTTCATATTTTTGAAGTTATACTTTAAGCGCGTTATGAAAAATGGATCAGAGTGAAATTTTACCATGCGCGCGCACCGTGACACAAAATTAACAGAAATGAAGTTGCACACAAGTGCTCCAATACAATTGAGGTTAACTATCCGTATGTATTATTTAGTAATATAAATGACAAAAATATTATTTAATATAATTCATACTAAATATGATTAAATTATTTACGTTAAATATTTATTATTAATTATTTAATATTAAAAAAAATATTATAAAAATAAAGTATAGCTTCTTACGCGCGTACATAAGTACACGCACCCTTTTTTATTATTCTGTCGGGGTAAGATCGAAAAATATTATTACATATTTCATCATTTTCTCAATATGTAATTCGTATTTAAATATAATTTTTAAAAAACAAAATTTATAAAAAAAAAAACACGTTTGCAATTCACACGTGGTAGAAGTGAAACTTTCAAAAATTAAAATACAATTATCCTAAACGTCTTAAGTATATGTAAAATTTTGTGTAAAAAACTACACAGAGAACTTCTAATATGTTCTATCTATCTCATTCTCTCGCCGGCTGAATCCTATACACTTATGTTTGTGTCTCTATGGACTTATTTTTTCGTTTCATCGACTTTGAAATCACAACGAATCTAAAGAAGTTTCACTTCAAAAAAAAAAGCTATAGGCTGCGGATGATGGATACCTTGGCCAGTGGCGGGTAGTGGCAGTCCTGGTGGTAGGCCCGCACGCACAGCGCGCACGGGATGACGCGGCCCGCGCTGGCGCCGCCGCACACGATGCACACGCGCTCCCCGCGCGCCTTGTTCACGCACTCCCAGCAGTACCTGGACAAACGTTCAATAGTCGTCGCGGCCTAACGGATAAGACGTCCGGTGCATTCGTGTTGAAGCGATGCACCGGTGTTCGAATCTCAGACGGGTACCAATTTTCCTAATGAAATACGTACTCAACAAATGTTCACGATTGACTTCCACGGTGAAGGAATAACATCGTGTGATAAAAATCAAAACCCGCAAAATTATTTGCTTAATCACTGGTGGTAGGACCTCTTGGGAGTCTACGCGGGTATGTACCACCACCCCGCCTATTTCTGCCGTGAAGCAGTAATGCGTTTCGATCTGAAGAGTGAGGCAACCGTTGTAACTATACTGAGACCTTAGAACTCATATCTCAAGATAGGTGGCGGCATTTACGTTGTAGATGTCTATGGGTAACCCCGGTAACAACTTAACACCAGGAGGACTGTGAGCTCGTCGCACTCGGTACTCACAAGAGATCCTACCACCAGTTTATAGATCAATATGGGGTAGGAACTGACCAGTCTCCCTCGGGTATCTTGTCCATCCGCGGCTTGAAGCAGTAGGTGTGGTAGCCCTTGTCGCACGCGTCACAGAGCAGCAGCTGATCCTCATTGTCGCCGTTCAGACAAAACTGACAGTTCTGTCGATCGCAATAAGGATGAGAACGGTTTACTTCCAATAAACTTATGGTGGTCATGTGTGCGCGTGTGTTTGTTAGTTTTTTTTTTTAAGAGATTTTATGACCTCATCACTAAGACCTTTAAGTCATGTCTTATTTTAATTAATATTCTTATTTTTATGAAAAATTATAATATGGAGTGAAGTGAAATGAAGATGATAAATTTGAGACATTAATCAACTGGGATGAAATTAAATTAAATGAGATGATATAGGATGAAATATAATCTTAGTAAAATGGTGGTTATTTACTGATATTTGTTCAGTGGACTTTTTGGAGGATTCCGAGAAGCTACGTCCAGCGGCTTTGTTTCATTTTCCCACATTTGTGTACTTTCACAGATATTAAACAGTTAATAAACCACCGTTATTACACATTTAAACCTGAAGAAACACTAAATAGACAAAATAAAACAAACCACACAGCTTCACTCCACGCGTTCCCGCCAAAAAGTCTGTTTGTTTGAGTGTGAGTGTTGGTTAAGGGTGTGGACGCATGGTACTTATTGAATTTATAAATATAGTTTTGGTGGTCAAACAAAAATTTGTTTTGTTCTATTATAATTTTTTCTTATACTATTTTTAATTTAAATTTATTTTCTATTTTTTAAGTTGGATTTTCTATAAAAGTGTATTTTGTTAGTTTTTTTAATCTATTATTATAATTTTTTTTTTTTTTAATTTTCGTAAAGACCCGAGCAAAGCCGGAGCGGGCCGCTAGTATTATCAGATTCAAACGGCATTTTTAAAATGCTTTCATATTGTTCTAAGGCAGTCCCTGGCGACACTCACGGCTTTCATGACGCTCTTGTCCCAGGCGACGGCGGTCTCCAGCGCGTGCAGCAGCATGGCGAGCTGCGCTGACGTGCTGCAGCGCGCCACGGCGTCCCTCCACGTGGCCAGTCCGCGGGCTATGCCTTTGTTGTCTGAAAACGTCACGTGCTAATGTCAATGTTAGTATAGAGCAGGGGTTCTCAAACTCGTCGACTGCCAACTTTGAGAATAAATGATTTCTAGCGCCCGATATTTTCACCTTTTTTTTGTTATTGCTTAGATTGGTGGACGAGCTCACGGTTCACCTGGTTTTAAGTCGTTACCGGAGCCCATAGACATCTTCGACATAAATGCCGCTTCTCTCACTACTGAGGGTCGTGACTCCTGCACTGCATCATTCTCTCACATACAATTTCCCTCCATCAACAATCGTCCAAACCGACTGGCACACGACCCTCTGCACAAGCGCCATCTCTAGCAACGAATCTCACACGAACTAGTTCAACGACTTTGACTCTATAATCGACCTTAATACGTAGAGACATCGTCTAGTCACTTCAGATTAGTGACTCATCATTATCAGCTCATCTGCTCATGGTCTACGGAGTGATTGCGGATCATAACCAAGAAATATAAAATGTTTATGCTCTATACCAACCTTTCCCAAAGTGAGTGATAACGCCCCCTTGTGGGCGGGGCGCTGCATGCCTAAAAGGAGGCGGTAAGAGACCCAGAAAAAAAAGGGGGCGTTGTGTAGAGTCTCGATTTGTAATTTCATCTAGGACTCTTAGACACCGACTGAGCTCTCGCTATAGTAGTTTTGAGGTAGGTAGGTTTTGTTGTGAAGCAGTAATGCTTTCCGACAAACAGTATACTGAGACCTTAGAACTTCTATCTCAAGGTGGGTGGCGCATTTACATTGTAGATGTCTATGGGCTGCAGTAACCACTTAACACCAGGTGGGCTATGAGCTCGTCCACCCATCTAAGCAATAAAAAAAGCAATAATAATTAAAGATGTGGTGTCGTGGGACACCAGGTAGGAGCGAAGTTCCTTCGGCTAATGTAGAATCGACACAACTTGCAAAAAAAGAAATGGTGCTCAATTTTATGTAGGTTTTCTTGGTTTTCTCTTAAATTTTGCTGATTAGTTTTTATTTAAGAACGGGAAAGTATTTAGGAAATTCAGTATTTTAGGAAATAATAAATTACGTAAAATAAAAAAAATAGTAATTCAAATTATCAATTAAAATAACAAAATATATCTCTTTATTTTTGGTTGACAACATAAAATTACATAGAAATAGAAATAATTACTAAATAGAGAGAGAAGGGATTAGAGAACGAAAAGAAAGAAGGAGAAAGAGAAAGGTATTATACACTACTCGCTTGTGTATGCGACTGTCGCGCCTGCGCACGTCTCATTTAACGGTTTTATTCCACGCACTTTTTTCCACGGATTTTTTCTTACGGTTTTACTATCACATTTTTTTCAGTTCGGTCGCGCAGCAAAATCCCTATCCCCTCCAAGCATGCCGTAAGGAACTTCGTTCCAAAAAAAAATTAAACATTTATGTGTGTTGTGTCTCAATGGACTTATTTTTTCGTTTCATCGAGTTGAGTTTCACAACGATTCTACAGAAGTTTCACTTCAAAAAATGTGGCATCTTCGTAAGCTCGAGTAGTCATTTAAGACCAGCTGTATATTATTTAGCAATAAGAACCTCACCTTTAGACTCGTTCCCGCCGTCAGAGTTCTGCGGCGACGGCGCGGACGTGTTGCCGTGCTCGCCTGACAACATCGCTCCCAGGTTCGCTTCCGCTGTGCTGTAAGCAAGCATTACGAATGATTACGTAGTCATTAAAAGCGATGTAATTACAGATTCAAGCTTCGATAAGCAAGAGTTACTTTTTTTATGTAAGTAAATAAGTTGCTTTTTTTATAAGTAATATATAAATAAATTATATTTATAATATCGACGCTTGAAAGGCAAACGTTACTAAGCGACAATAATTGCTTTGTACATAAATGATAGGCAATAACCATATTCGATGTGCAAAAAAATATATTTCTAGTTCTATTAAAATCATTTCAATCCTACAGCTACTAGCTAGATTCGTTAAAATAGATTTGGTTTTCAGGTATTTCAACTTTAAATTAGTTTACTGTAAAGTTCACGCATTGTCGCTTAGTCACGTTTGCCTTTCAAGCGTGGATATGCTAATTGACTATGTTATTAAATTAAATATTTTCACACCAATATTTTTAATATCCAAAAATGTTTTCCACGTAAATACGCAATTATTAGTTAACGTTAATTTTTTTTTAATAAATTTAACACAATCTGTTACACACACCGTCGGTACTTCGTTCATAAAACAAACGAAAACTAGGTTATCCATAATTTTCGTCAAGACATACTTGTCATCGTCAAATAATTATTATTTCTCACATTTAAAGTCAGCTCTCTATAGTTTATCATTGACTAGCAGACTCGCCCACACGTTGCTGTGGCTAAGGTTTTTGTTTCTAAATAACACGTGGCCGGCTATGCTAATACCAAAAAATAACAAAGTAAGAACAATTGGATTTCCCTGTATTGCGTTTACTACGAAATAAATTTCACTTATACTTTAGCCTCAGCAACACGTGGTGTTTGTGCCATTAAATTGTAGGTTATGGGAAACGTTGGTATTTTTAATACAGCGCCATCTATGAGATTTTAATGTCAGACAGTATTACAATTGTCTGTAAAAACTGATTTAAGGCGCCATCTGTTTTAGACTTATGAAACCATTAATAACAATAATCAACCTAAGAAGTCATTTTATTGTTAATTAATAAATATTGCGACCATTCAATTAAATAAAAACCATCCTATGGCCTAAGTTGGAACAAAACACATATTTAAAATAAAAAAAAGTTTAAATCGGTTCAGTGGTTTAGGTGTCCATCGCGGACAAACAACGTGACACGTAATTTATATATATTAAGATGGAACTAAAAATAGCGGTGTGTTCATCTTACAAAGTTAATGTTAGTTTAAAATTGTCATTGGGAAATAACATGCAGAAATGCAGCATTAAGAGAAACTGCGACTTGCAGATAATATAATATTTTTTTAATTAAGGTACCATGCGATTATTTCAAACATTTTTAACAACAAACTCGTGCATTAGGGCGTTTCTCTGCAGCGATTTAAATGATAATAAGACGGATATAAGTAGCTTTAATGGATATAACTTAATATGAAAATAACTAGCGCCTTCTCGCTCTGTCATCAAAGTAGCCGCCTTAATCAATTATAGCAAGGTTATCATCATACTAATAGACCAAAAAAAGCTTGGGAAACAATATGGCAAATAAATTTAAAAAAATCTTATTATATTTAGGGACCATCCAATTTATTCTAATTTCATAGTCAACCTATTTTCGTCCCACCACAAAAAAGACGGAGGGTATTCTCATTTTAAAGCAAGTTCTATATTAAATTTTCAAATTAACCACATTATTGTTACATTAAAATTTACATTCGATTTAATAAAAATCGATTGGCAGATCAAAGCCATATTTTACAAAAAACTACTTAGCGCAGAAATTAAGCACACAAGACAATGTTTTTATAGAATTAATTTCTTAGTTAGCTAACAATCGAAGGCATATGCAATTTGAGGCATAAATATAAGTTTATAATACAAGCACTTTTTTTAAATAATGAAACTACCCACCACAAAAAAAATCGTCCAAAACACACATGTTCAAAGCTTCCCTGTCCCCCGGGACGCACAACGCTGCGGCGAGCTCGCGACGCCGCGCGGTTCTGCGGCGCCGAAAGACTAACGCAATTCTAATACTATACGTATAGAGCAGACACTGACACTTGTCGAGTTGTTAATAAAATTCCTTTTCGACAAATTACAAAACGCAAGGTCTTATCGCAAATAGTCTCTTAGTTATTAAATCATACGTTTAAATCGCATTTTGCAATTTATTTAATGAGTATTTATAGTAAACGAATATTTTGTTTATTATTTTACAATACGTAGTATCACCAAAAATTATCCAGCCATGTAACATTGTAACAACTCTAGATTAGATATTAGTTGTTCACAGATAATAAAATTATCGATATTAAGTTGGGCGTTAATTTTTTTTTTTAAATAACTCATTATCAACTCAAGTGTGATATTAAAATCGAGCTCTCAATTAACAGACAGAAATGAAGTATACCTATATTTTATTGACCTTGTAGGCAGACGAGCATACGGCCCACCTGATGGGGAGTGGTTACCGTCGCCCGTGGACTTCAGCCAAGCCGCTGCCTAACGCTAGCCGTATTTGAGTACGTTTAAAGGATATTCGTAGTATGAGCCGTGTCGACCACGGCGCGGTGCGTCCCGAGGGCAGTCAGAAGCGTAACGATGGGAGTGGCGTTGCATTACCTAGCATACCTTTGTACCAAAGGCGGTTTGAGGTATCTCCTCTCGATGTGCGCCTCCACGGCCGCCAGCTTGAGCCGCGCGCGCGCCACCAGCTCCGCGCCCCCCAACCCCCCCGCCGCCGCCCCGGCCGCCCCGCGCGACGGCCGCCAGCCCTTGGTCTGCAGCGACGCCGCCGCCACGCGCTCCTCCAGCTGCTCTACCTACAGGTATACGTTACTTCAGTTATCTAACTCTCAACACTCTACTAATCCTCATTATTTCCTCCTGCGTCGTATTCCTCACTGCTGAGGGTCGTGACCACCCTTTTGTATCACCTTCGCACGCACGATCTATCTCCATCTATTCTTGTCTCTGGCGGTGTGGAGGGCGTTGTGTAATGTAGAATCAAGAACGGTGCGGATCTGAACGGACCAACGTGTTATTTACTGATGCGTATATGACTGGTAGTAGGACCTCTTGTGAGTCCGCGCGGGTAGGTACCACCGCCCTGCCTATTTCTGCCGTGAAGCAGTAATGCGTTTCGGTTTGAAGAGTGAGGCAGCCGTTGTAACTATACTGAGACCTTAGAACTTATATCTCAAGATGGGTAGCGCATTTACGTTGTAGATCCAGTAACCAATTAACACCAGGTGGGCTGTGAGCTCGTCCACCCATCTAAGCAATAATAATAATGCGTATATTCCTCAATGTATCTGTCAGTAGATGAATGTCAATAAAACGTTCCCTTCGTGTGTAAAATTGAATGCTATCCAAAAACAGTTGTACGCAATGTGTCCGTGCACCGGTGTTGGAGACTTAAGGGGGTAAAATATGGGGATTTTTATCGACAAATCACTATCCCAATTTGTGTTATTTAAGTTTTTAAGGGTCACATATTTAAGCCATCACAACTTTTGATCTACCTTGCTTATGGCTTTGATGTAAGATTTATGGTTATGGGAAGGTATGAAGGTATGGGAAGTCAGCGGTGGTACAATCATAATTTAATATTTTTTTCGTTCAAATAAAATATATTCATTATCATACAAAGTAAATGTAACGTACCATTTGCAATAGATTCAGATCGACCCGTCTCGCGGTGAGCGCGCAGTACGACGAGGGCGAGTCGGGTGGCGGGTACCCGGCGGAGTGCTCACCCGGGTCCTCGCTACCCGGGTCTAGGTTACCCGGGTCCAAATCGACCGGGACATCGCCCAGGTCTATGTGCAGCTGCGGAAGAACATCGATTAGAATATATGGGGTACATATATAATAATATAATAGCCAACCAAATCTACCAGTAGATTCGGTGAAAATAACAAATGTAAAATTCAGCGTACCTTGTTGTTGGCGGTCGGTAGGTGGTTGACGAAGGACGCGTGCAGCTCCCGTTCTCGAACTCCTCGCGGATGGAGAGCCTCCATCAGCGCCCTCAGCTGCTCGGAGTCCGTGATCCGCCACCAGCCGTGCCTGGCACGTTTAATCTCAATGACTACACGTTAACTTCGACTTAAGACGAATAGTCGCTAACATTGGCAATGCCTTGTTAATAATAATAAAGGTACTCTGCTGGGTCAGGGGCCTGGAGGAAAGAGCAGTCATCCTAGATACGGTGTGGTTCGTGGGAGGTCTCACTCTGGAGCCCTATTCACCGGCGGCTTCATAGACACCACTACCAGCGGTAATCTATTTTTGTGTGCTATTTTGGTTTTTAATACTATTCTAATTCTTCTAACTAAGAATATTCTAATAACCAAAGATAATAAATAATAATTATATTTCTCTCTGTTTCAATAATACTAGCATAAATATACTAGTATAAATAGTTTCAATAATAATCTATATATATATATATAAAAATGAATTGCTGTTCGTTAGTCTCGCTAAAACTCGAGAATGGCTGGATCGATTTGGCTAATTTTGGTCTTGAATTATTCGTGGAAGTCCAGAGAAGGTTTAAAAGGTGAGAAAATATAAAAAAGCTCTGAATTATATAAAAAGAAACAATTTTGTTTTTCCTTTGATGTGCCCTCTTGATGTGTCTTTTATTTATCGATTGAGGCACTACAAAGTCTGCTGGGTTATTTAGTAGTTCACAATGATAAGTCACAAACACGGATTATGTCACAAATCGAAACCCGCAAATTTCTAATTTGCGTATTTACTGGTGGTAGGACCTCTTGTGAGTCTGCGGGTTCATTTATCATATTAGTTAGAAGCAGGGTCGGGTACCTGAGATCCCTGGTCACGAAGTTCCCGCTGATCTTCTTGGGCAGTCCGTATATCTTGCAGTAGTCGAGCTGCTCGAGCTCGTCGGGCGACATCTGTATGGGCGGCGGGCTGTCGCACGTGACGTAGGTGGACAGCGCGTTGAAGTTGAGCAGGCCGAGGCTGGTGAGGCTGCTGGCCTTGGCGCGCTGGGCCGCCGCGTCAAGCTTCAGCCTGTCCGCTTGGAGCTCCTTCTCTAAGTCGTTCTCCTAAACAGATGATTGCCACTACACGTGAAGCGTTTAAGACGAAGGTCCGAGAACTGTTTCTCAGAGAGTTAGCACAGTCATCTAATTGATAATATTTGTTTCTATATGTTTTTATATGTATATATTTATGATATGTATATGTATATATTTAAGTACGAGTATTTGTATTTATAAATATTATGTATGTTATATTTACACATATTATGTGTATAATATTATGGCATACACATATGGAGGCATATCTATATTATCCTCTACTTTTGACGTCAACGACCTTAAATCAATCTACCTACTCCTCTAATTATGATAGATGTTTTTATTTTTTTTATTGTTTAGTTGGGTGGACGAGCTCACAACCCACCTAGTTTTAAATGGTTACTGGAGCCCATAGACATCTACAACGTAAATACGCCATCCACCTTGAGGCATAAGTACTAAGGTCTAGTTACGATTCTAAAGAAGTTTCACTTCAAAAGTACCTGTTCTTTGTTCTCGTCTTCATCCATCGCCGCGTCCCCGGCCAGGCTGGCCTCCATGACGTCTGGGTGCAGGCCGGACATGGTGAGGCTGCTGTCGGCGCACACAGTGGGCGGGGGCACCTGCACGCTGGTCACCATGCTGTTGAGCGTGAAGAGACTGGGGTCGCGCAGCAGATGCAGGTTGTTGGAGACGTCCCACTTGTGTCCCTGCGCCACCGCCACCTCGGCGCACGTGTGCTCGTTGTCGCAATATGCCACGTCGTCTCCATCATTGATGCTGTTCAAGAATGAACTCTCGTGCCTCAGTATCGAGAACCATTTTCCTTCTAAGATCTTCGAGTGGAGGTACGCCTGAGCGCTGTCAGGTTCGCTGGTCTCCGACTTGAGGCTCTCCTGTTTGATCTCCTCGGCTTTTTTGGCGGCGTCGAGCTGTGACGATACGGCTTCGGCCATTTTACGAAGCTCCTCCAGGTTGTTGACAAGCTGGTCCTTGGTGTCTTGTTCTGGAGCTTCGACCTTGACGTTCTCCACCTTGACGATCTCCTGGGGCCGGTCGGCGGGCTCGGCCTGGGCGGCGTACAGCGGCTTGTGGGTCGGCTTCTGGACGAGGAAGGCGGTCGGTATGGAGTCCTCGATGTCCAGCATGTCCTGACCCTCGCTGTTCTGTTTGTGCTGAATGAACTTCTCCTCCATTTTTATTGACGAGCCTGCGGATTACAGCACTAGGTTACGTTTCGTTGGCCTAAAGAATCTTAAAAATCGTAAATCGATTATGCATGCGCGTTTTGGTTTCCGTATTTAGAATTTAAATTTATTTTTCGTCTACCGAGTTTCAACTTTGTATTCTCGCAGACTTGCTCGGTTGCTCGGTTTATTTACAGTCGCTGTGTTAATAATATATAAATTAGTACATTTTTCTCAAATCTCAGCGTGTAGACTAAAATTATTAAATCAATTACAAAAAGAAAACTTAAATCTCATCATACTTTTGAATCTCAAATTGAGATGATGAAATATTTCGGACTCTTTGACAATTTTTAATATGACCACCATTTTACTGAGATTATATTTCATCTCATTTCATTTCATCCTAGTTGATTAATGTCTCAAATTAATCATTTTCACTCCATATTATCATTTTTTCATAAAATTAAGATTATACATTAAAACAAACATGGCCTCAAGGTCTTAGTTACCAAATCATAAAATCTTTAAAAAAAAAACGAAATAACACGGATGTATTACTCATGAGCACACTTGCCGTACGTGGCGTGCAATAATCGCTCTTGTGTATATGTACATAAGGTTTGTAAATGAAATCTGTACCTAACCTCAAAACACGGATGTATTTATTACTCATGAGCACACGCCGTATGTGGTGTGCAATAATCGCTCTTGTATATATGTAGATAAAGTTTGCAAATGAAATCTGTACCTACCCTCAACCTTACAGGCGCCATGTTTGACGTTCGGCTCATACTTGATGATCTGGGTGTGGTCGCTGAGGTTGAGTTCAGACTTGATGTTTTTCAGTTCCAATTGCGATTTGAGAGCTTCCGCTTGAGTCTCGGTGTCGTCTGGTCTGATGTCTCCCTCTTCCGACGGCGGCTCAATCTTCTCTTTCACCTCTAAAAGTTTTGAAGTTTTAAAATGAGCAATTACGTTTATTGCAATGGATTACTTGATTTACTTTTTGATATCTCGATGGTTTACGAAAAATACGTAAAGATTATTAATAAATTTCGTTTAATCCCATTCTCTCGGATCGTTTGGAACCTCGGGGTCTGCGGAGGGACTTCGGTTCCCTCTGTATTTTGTACCGTATGTTCCATGGGGAGTGCTCTGAGGAATTGTTCATGATGATACCAGCATCTCGTTTTTACCATCGCACCGCTCGCCACCGGAGTAGAGTTCATCCATACTACCTGGAGCCACTGCAGTCATCCACAGTGCGTTTCCAGACATATTTTTTGCCACGTACCATCCGGCTATGGAATGAGCTCCCCTCCACGGTGTTTCCCGAGCGCTATGACATGTCCTTCTTCAAACGAGGCTTGTGGAGAGTATTAAGCGGTAGGCAGCGGCTTGGCTCTGCCTCTGGCATTGCTGAAGTCCATGGGCGACGGTAACCACTCACCATCAGGTGGGCCGTATGCCCGTCTGCCTACAAAGGCAATAAAAAAAAATTAACTAATTGAAATAAGTGTTTACATATCGACGCTTGAAAGGCAAACGTGACTAAGCGACAATGCGTGAACTTTACAGTAGACTAATTTAAAGTTGAAATACCTGAAAAAAATTCTATTTTAACGAATCTAGCTGTAGGATTTAAATTATTTTAATAGACCTAGAAATATATATTTTTTCCGCATCGAATATGGTTATTGCCTATCATTCATGTATAAAGCAGTTATTGTCGCTTAGTCACGTTTGCCTTTCAAGCGTCGATATGTACTGAATTATTTATGAATGTAAGATCTAATCATATATTGTTCAAACCTTTCTTCTTCGCAATAGACATCTCATCCTTATCTCTGGCGAGGTTGTTTTCGAGGGTCTCATGATACATTAAGATCTCAGGCTGCGCAGACTCCATCCCTTCAACGAAGATGCCGCCGGCTTTACCCAGGGACCAGTAGCGACGCCAGTACCTGCGGACCGCGATCTTATATAATTGGAGCAACTTGCAAAGCACACGTCGTAGATTGTGCTCCTTAAGACTAAGATAATAAAATCGAAACTCGATAAATTTACTAAAAGTTGATTTTAACTAGCATTTCCTGCGGCTTCACTCGCGTAGTCAACGAACAATGTCAGTCAGTGTAGTTTTTCATGGTAATGAGAATTTTAGGAATAAAAGGTAGCCTATGTCACTGTACTGACCAAAAAAAATCATGTCGATCCGACGTGTCGACGTGAAAGTAAGACAAACAAACACACATTCACATTTATAATATTATCAATTACAGGTATAAATATAGATACGTATATGGTCCGGTTACACGACCCAAATAGCACTAAGCGACTACTGGGGCTCATAGACATCATGACGTGTATGCTGTCACTCATCCTGAGACATGAGGTCTGCACGTAAACAGCACAGTGGCGGTAGTCCCGATCTGCGAATCGGAAGGCGTTACTTTTTTTGTTTTTTTCTTCCTACCTAAGCTGAGAGCCTTGAGAGGCTAGATCAGCGTCGCCTTAACTAGTAGATGAGCTCACGGGGCTCAAACCTGACGACGTTGCTAACACGAACCCTAGCAAGAGCCGTGCTTCGCAGAATCTACCACCGGATCGGAAACGCGACCCACTGAGAAGATCCGGCGAGAAGCTCAGTGGGCTGTGTCTGTGGGTATGGCGTTACGTCTCGCGTATGAAGCCGTCAAGGTTTCGACTTAGTATTTTAGTGTTCGAGGTCTATGTCTGTTCCGGTCTGGTGGTCCAGCCCGACAGTAGCAGCGTTCCCCACCGGTCCTGTCCGTAGCAAGTGGCGCGGAGTGCGTGCGAGCCGGCCTGAAGCTGCTGCAGCTGTTGTTCCGACTGCCTCAGAAGCTTCTCGAGCTTTCTTGAAAGTTCTTCAGCTGATAAATTCTTGTCTTCGTCCTGTCAAAAATCGTTATATATATATTATTACTGGTGGTAGGACGTCTTGTGAGTCCGCGCGGGTAGATACCACCGACCTGCCTATTTCTGCCGTGAAGCAGTAATGCGTTTCGATTTAATGGGTAGGGCAGCCGTTGTAACTATACTTGAGACCTTAGAACTTAGATCTCAAGATGGGTGACGCATTTACGTCGTAGATGTCTATGGGCTCCAGTAACCACTTAACACCAGGTGGGCTGTGAGCTCTAGACAGTGACAGTGTCTGTTGGTCAGGGTGCGGCGGTGGAGCCCCACCTCGTCGTGCTGCGCGCCGTCGCTCTCCGGGTCGCTGAGCACGTCGTCGCCCAGCACGCTGTCCTTGTCCAGCTTGGACGCGTCGCCGCCGCCGCACTCCTCCTTGTTGTTGTTCAGCAGCTCCTTGCTCTTCACGCCTGCGGACCAGAGTACACTTGTACCAACCTAACACAACTGTGGCGGGTAGACATCATACAACGTATGATCTTTGACAAATGCCTGGATCTCGCTTACGACATTTTCAAGACAAGCTTGCATATATACAAGTTCCGAACAATTTGGACGATCGGTGCAAGATCCTCCTTCTCAGTGGGTCGCGTTTCCGATCCGGTGGTAGATTCAGCGAAGCACGGCTCTTGCTAGGATTCGTGTTAGCAACGTCGTCAGGTTTGAGCTCCGTGAGCTCACCTACTAGTTAAGGTTACGCTGAAAAAGGCCTCCAAAGGGTATCAGCTAAAAAAAAAATTTTTGTCTACACTACCTATTCACTGGTAGCTTAATGAGCCAATCCGGTTACATCCGGATGGGTAGATGAGCTCACGGGCTCAACCCGAGAGAATTTGCTAACACCGGCCCTAGCAAGAGCCGTGCTTCGCTGAATCTACCACCGGATCGGAATCGCGACCCACTGAAAAGACCCGGCCAAAAACTCAGAGGGCTGTGTCTATGAATTAGGCCGCGTTCACCCGCGATGAAGGACACACTATGGCGGATTCGACAAACGCAATGCTAACTCCGATAAACCGTCATATTTCTACTAAAACGAACTGAATTTGTTATGCAATTCTGTACCGTTGGACAAGTCCTTTAAAGGCGACAATTCCTTGTCGCTTTCTTCAACGTGCTGGGGTTCTTTGTACGGCGAAGGCGAGTCAGTCTTGTCGTCCGCTTCGGGAGTTAGCGCGTGCTCCTTCGGTTGCTTCTTCGGAGTCTCTTGTTTCTCGTGCATCTGTTGTTCTGTAACAATTAAACATATCGACGCTTAAAAGGCAAACGTAACTAAGCGACAATAACTGCTTTGTACATAAATGATAGGCAACCTTATTAGATGCGCAAAAAAATATATTTCTAGGTCTATTACAATCATTTCAATCCTACAGCTAGATTCGTTAAAATAGAATTTTTTTCTGTTATTTCAACTTTAAATTAGTCTACTGTAAAGTTCACGCATTGTCGCTTAGTCACGTTTGCCTTTCAAGCGTCGATATGAATATGTGTTCTTGAATTTTCGACAAGCAAATTTAGTAATTCATTTTTCGGTTCGATGAGAACGGTGGCCGGTGCTTGAGGTACCTAAAAGCACCGTTAGTGGATCGGGAGGGTCCGAAATGACGGGTTTTGGGCGACGTCGACTGCTTTCCATTCTGTCCGCAGGATCAGGAATGTTGTGCTCTGTGATGGCTACCGCCACAAGAGCATTGTATACATGTATACAGTGAGTAGATATTAGACAGTACGCCTGCTGTACAGACGGGCTACCTTCGTCGTGTGAGTGCGGGGAAGCTCTCGTGTTGCCGGAGCTTTCCTCCACGAGCCGCTGCATCCGCTCCAGCGCGAGAGCTTGCTGCTTCTCCGACTGCTCGGCGCGCAGCTTCCGCTGGTGCAGTACGCGGACTCTGAAACGTACACGGTTAGTTTTATTTATTTATTGCTTGGGCGGACGAAGTCACAGTTGGTGTTAAGTGGTCACTGGAAACCATAGACATCTATAACGTAAATGAGCCACCGCCTTGAGATATAAGGTCTAAGGTCTCAATATAGTTACAACAGCTGCCCCGCCCTTCAAACCGAAACGCATTACTACTTCACTGCGGAATTAGGCAGGGTACCTACCCGTGTGGACTCACAAGAGGTCCTACCACCAGTACAATGATATATGATATATAATATGTGCAAGAATCGTTGGTAGTCAGAGAATATACAACACTAAGCTCTCATTATATTAATAGATAGCATTTAAGTTCAATTCCATTTAATATGGATATCCCAATATACTAGATTCGGTGTCGGATTCTCTGACATTAAACATCTCTCATTTTAGTGTTCTATAGAACATATTTATATATTTTTTTTTATTGCTGTTTTGGGTAGAAAAGGTCACAGCCCACCTGGTGTTAAGACCTTCCTACCGCCTTCAAAGCGAAACGCATTACTGCTTTGCGGCAGAAATAGGCAGGAGGGTAATACCTACACGCGCGGACTCACGAGAGGTCCTACCACCAGTAACTCCTGTCAACTCCTACCGGGAACAGCTGGACTTACTTCCTGATCTTCATATCCATGAGGTACCGTTCCTTCTTCAGCTGCGTGAGATGTTCCAGGGAGCCGTCGATCTGCCGCAGCACGGCCTTGTTCTGCAGCAGCTCGTTGCAGAGGAACGCGAGGATCTTCGCCTTCACCGTAGCGTTGAGGGCGACGAAGGGCTTGTCACGAAGGGCCTCTGCATAACGAGTCCTATACTTCACTAATGCACATGAGTTGCGTGTGGAGTGTGGTGTGAGGACTACCGGTTTATACCACGAGGAAACCTCACCCTCCGGTTTGGAAGACAGACGTCATTATAACGTTAAGAAAACGTGAGGGGACTTTGAGAAAAGTGGAGTTACCTCTTGGTGTTAAGTGGTTACCGGAGCCCATAGACATGTACAACGTAAATGCGCCACTCACCTTGAGATATGAGGTCTCAATATAGTTACAACGGCTGTCCCATCCTTCAAACCGAAGCGTATTACTGCCGCACGACAGAAATAGGCAGGGTGGTGGTACCTACCCTTACCCTCGTACTGATGAAGTTGCACACTAGTTAGTTATACACCGGTGCGCTTAGAGCGAGTTTTTTAACGTTCTCGATAGCGTAAAAGTTAACTCAATGCTGTATGGAGTTGGAACGTTTGCCTGCGTTTGCCGCTAGGGGCGCTGTTCCAACTGCATACAAATCTGAGTTAACGTTTACGCTATCGAGAACGTTAAAAAACTCGCACTAAGCACACTGAATAGCAGTGCAGCCTAGTAGTGTCAAGAAATCGATGTTTTTCATACAACTAGCGGAACGCGACCCGTATTGACAGCGAGGCTCGTAAGTGCTCAAGACTGCTCACTAGCGCCCTCTCGACGTTCTCAATACAGTTACAACGGCTTCCCCACCCTTCAACCCCAAACGCATTACTGCTTCACGGCAGAAATAGGTGGGGTGGTACCTACCCGTGGGGACTCACAAGAGGTCTTACCACCAGAAAACCTGCCTAAACTATAATGTGCCCGCTTAAAGTGAGCCTGCATAAATCGTACTATCTTATAGCTATAGTTGACAACTATGTTTAAGTAGTGTCTATGGATTGTGTTTATCGTTTATAGAGTTTTTTATTTATTTATTTTTATTGCTAGATGGGTGGACGAGCTCACAGCCCACCTGGTGTTAAGTGGTTACTGGAGCACATAGACATCTACAATGTAAAAGCGTCACCCACCTTGAGATATAAGTTCTAAGGTCTCAGTATAGTTACAACGGCTGCCCTACCCTTCAAACCGAAACGCATTATTGCTTCACGGCAGAAATAGGCAGGGCGGTGGTACCTAACCTGCGCGGACTCACAAGAGGTCCTACTAGCAGTAAAGTAGAGTCAAGAAATCGATGTTTTTCATACAACTAGCGACCCCTATTGATAGCGAGGTAAGTGCTCACGACTGCTCACTAGCGCTCTCTCAACGTATTAGGTATGGAACGAACCGGATAGTTTGTAGGTGCCGTTATTGTGCAGATGCTCGTAGTAGGCGGCGTTGCGCGTGGTGGCGCTGGTCTGCACCATCTCGGCGTCGGTCTGGTGGTGGTCCGCCACGCGACGCTCTCGCTCACGCTCCGCCGTCAGACCTGATCGCGACGACACTTGTATTAACATTTCTTGAATCGCCCTAAGTGGTTACCGTTATGGACATCAGCAAAGCCAGGGGCAGAGCCAAGCCGCTGCATACCATGAAGTACTCTCCATAAGCTTCGTTTGAAGAAGGACATGTCATAGCGCTCGAGAAACACCGTGGAGCTCATTCCAAAGCCAAATGGTAGGTGGCAGAAAAGTTATTTGGAACCTATTTTTGCCGTGAAGCAGTAATGCGTTTCGGTCTGAAGGGTAGGGCAGCGGTTGTAACGATACTGAGATCTTAGAACTTATATCTCAAGGTGGGTAGTGCATTTACGTGGTAGATGTCTATGGGCTCCAGTAACCAGTTAACACCAGGTGGACTGTGAGCTGGTCCACCAACCTAAGCAAGAAAAAAAAAACGCCCTATGGATGAATACAGCGGTTCCAGATAATATGGATGAACTCTGCTCCGATGGCGGGAGGTGCGATAATAAAAAGGAGATGAGGGGGATCATGGAACATACGGTACAAAACACAGGGAGAACCGAAGTCCCTCCGTAGACCCAGAGGTTCCAAGCGATCCGCGAAAACGTCGATCCAAACATGTATTGGTAATCGTTTTCACATTACGATGGCTAGACAAGCTCACGGCTCATCTGGTAATTAGCGATTACCGGAGCTGACGTCACGACGTAAATGAGATCGGAGTCTTCATTGTGTTAACCATTGTGCCCCTCGATGTCACATAAATATCACTAATCAGAATATTCTTAAAATTCAATTCTATGAATGATAGTTCAATAGTCCACGTCGGACCAATAAGGCCGACGCTGTCTTCAGTAGATTCTAAACCTAATTCTAAAAGTTTATTATTATTATTTTTAAGGGATTTTATGGCCTGGTAACTGAGACCTTTAAGTCATGTCTTATTTTAATTGATATTCATATTTTTATGAAAAATGATATTATGGAGTGAAATTAAATGAAATGAAATGGGATGAAATATAATCTCAGTAAAATGGTGGTCATTTAATAAGATTTTTTCAGTGGACTTTTTGGAGGATCCCGAGAAGTTACGTCCAGCGGCTTTGTTTCATTTTCCCACATTTGTGCACTTTCACAGATATTAAAAAGTTAATAAACCACCATTATTACACATTTAAACCCGAAGAAACACTAAATAGACAAAATAAAACAAATCACATAACTTCACTGCTCACGTTCCCGCCAAAAAGTCAAAATTTTATTATAATAATAATTAATATCTACCCGAGGTTTCACTCATGTAATCATAGAATAGTTTCCTGTGAGAATGCAGTATAAAAAACAGCCTATGTCAATCTCCTGACCTTATTACCTTAAAAAATCATGTCAATCCGACGTTTTGATGTGAAAAAAAGACAAACAATTTCACATATTTTATGATATTAATATCGTAATATGACTATGGTAATATGGCAATCAAATCTAATATTGAGATTTAAGATGAAAGTATTTGACAAAAACGAAATTAATTATTCATGTAGGTATATGTAGTTATATTTATTTTCGAACCTGACAATAATGTTTATTGCACATTAAAAAAATACATGATGTTCCTCACCTGTCAACGCCTTGACCTCTCCGGTAGCGTTGGCATACAAATATATCCGGAGCACTTCGCTCAGGTTGTGGGGAGTTATGTCGCCCATCCGGATGGCGTGACCGAGCAGCGTGGTGTGCCGGCCCGGGTGGGGTATGCCCGGGTCCTCTGCCAAGAAACAATAGAGTACATCTTCTCGTTGCTGGAGGTAGGGTCGGCATAACAATTATGTATTTTTTTCCATGTCATTGAAGTCATTCGTGAACATGTTAAATACGTATTTCATTAGAAAATTGATTTCATTAGACCTGTCTCCGGGATTCGAACACCGGTACAGTAGTATTGCTGTACTAGTACTCCAAGTGTCTTATCCTTTAGACGATGACATTAACATTTCCTTACACCTCATATCATTGAGTCCCCCGGTCTCGTCGAGTAAATTAACCCACAGACACAGGCCACTGAGTTTCTCGCCGGATCTTCTCGGTGGGTCGCGTTTCCGATCCGGTGGTAGATTCTGCGAAGCACGGCTCTTGCTAGGATTCGTGTTAGCAACGTCGTCAGGTTTGAGCCCCGTGAGCTCATCTACTAGCCGGTAACTGATATGGTCTCTCTAAACCATCAGCTTAGGTAGGAAGTCATATATTACAAAGTACACATATTTACCGATAGCGGTGATGAGAAGCTGCGTTAACACTTGAATTAGTTCCTCTTCAGCATCAGCGTTACAGTTCGGGAGGAGTGCCGCTTGTAACGTGCTCAGAGTCGGCATACAGTCCAGATCTGATTAAAAAATTACATGGGTCAGTTGGTTTTAAGTGGTTACTGGAGCCCATAGACATGTGCAACGTAAATGCTCCATCCACCTTGAGATATAAGTTCTAAGGTCTCAGTATAGTTACAACGGCTACCCCACCCTTCAAACCGAAACGCATTACCGCTTCACGGCAGAAATAGGCAGGGCGGTGGTACCTACCCGCGCGGACTCCCATGAGGTCCTACCAGCAGTAATTACGCAAATTATAATTTTGCGGGTTTTGATTTTTATTACACGATGTTATTCCTTCACCGTGGAAGTCAATCGTGAAAAATTGGTACCCGCCTGCGGGATTCGAACACCGGTGCATCGCTACACACGAATGCACCGGACGTCCTATCCTTTAGGCCACGACGACTTCATCTCGACTTCATCAAACTGATCACTCACCGAATCCTAAAGTTTGTCCAAAGTTGTGTATGAACTCGTAAACTTGCAGTATGTCTGCCATGGCCTGCCCCGCTAACTTCAGACCCGGGATTCTGTTTAGGGTCGGCAGTGGCTTCTGGTCTGAGAGAGTCGAGTCTTCTTGAGGTCGCCTGCCGAAAATATTCAGAGTTGAACCATGATAGTACCAATAATTTCACAATAGAAGTTAATCGGGACAATGATAATCGTCTTTTCGTATTAAAAGTGTTTCAATTTCCAAAAATATTCGAAATGGATTTAATATGCCGAATCATTTGGTATCACCAGTATTTTTCTCATAGATACTGTCAAAAGAGCGTAGTTTAGTTTTAGTATATTTTTTTTAGTTTACCTATGTTTTGACACAAACAAAATTAATACATAACTTGATCTTACTTTAAAAGACATGAGTCGTCTATTATCAAAGGTGGCAATCTGTGCATTTGGACAAAAAAATGTTATTGATATGTCAATACAGATTGATTTGAATATAATCGTCTCCTTCAAAGAATACGGTTCAAAACCTGCATTAAATAAAGGTTAATAGTTAACCTGTTATTTATCTAAGATGTCGTTCCGAAGAGTTTTGTGACTGCCAATGGAATACAAAGTCAATAATTCGTTTTTCTGATTTACCAATAATTGTCCAAAAGTCACATTGCCGGCTTTGATAATAGTCGACTCACATTTAATGTGACTGGTAAAAAATAAAATATAAATGTTGCAAAGATGATTAATATTAAAAATATCACATGTTCAACCTTTAAAACGCCCTCCTGTAAAATTAGTAAGTTTTGAGATTATACAGTTTTAATGCGAGAAGACGAATTATGTTAATGTTTGTTACAAAAAATTACGTCACAAACCTCAATTCCGAAAGCAGTTCCATCTCTTTTCGTCTCTGCTGCAGCTTCTTCTCTTTGACCAGCAACCTGTCCAGCAGGTTCTGGTGCTTTTTTCTCTCCCTCTCCTCCCATCTCCTCCTGGCGTCTAGCTGCCGGATGAAAGTTGTGTGTTGGCGTCTCCTTTCTCTTTCCTAACAGAAGTGACTAACGTTATAGTTAACCGATAAAGATAAGAAAAAGCTCTGTAAAGGACTATTCAGTTAAAAGGTCATTTTGCAATAAAATTTGAATTTATCACTATTTTTATTGTTTTAGTGATAAAGAAAGACGTGCTCGGAGATAATCTGAAGTTAAGTGGCTATTCGTGACGTCACAATGCGAACATTGCCACCCGCCTAGAAAACAAAATCCCAACGAAAATACAGACAGACAAAAAATTTTTGATTGGAAGTTAGATTCGCCCGCGGCTTTTTACTAATACCTTCCCTGTGCAGACATGTATTAGTTTAAGCACAATAAGTCAGATAACCGTTAGACTATCAAAAAGAATAGTATAATAAATATATTAATCTATACTGGATGTTAGGAGACCGCTTCCAAAAACGAAAATTTTGTACCTACAAAGTTATAAATTATGGGGAGCGCGGTATCAGCGCAGCGCCGGTGTGCGTGTTTATTTATTTATTTATTCATTTAGTCTACTTAGAAATTAACAGTATAAACCAAAACATTTTTAAGGTATTAATAACTAGCTTAAGTAATTCCTAACAACAACAATAAATCGCTGCAAACCATCATGGAATATATCCATTTCTGGAGCGTAGGCTAGCAAGCCGTTGAGTAGCGAGACAGCACGATGCGTCGGAGAGTTAGCAGTGTGCTGCGTACGCGCGTGCGTGTTAAAGAAACGCCGCGTCCAGACGTTCGTTGACCCGAGCATCAGCTGTTTTTTATTTTGTGTTTCATTGCTGGTTTTTTTTTAGTAATGTATTTTTTATGGATCTTTTCATTTAGCTGTACTAACATGATGGAGCGTAAATAATGCTAATAAAGCGTTTTGATAATATGTTTTTTTTTTTAAATCTGGATCGATTTTATTTTCGTCCCATCAGCTGTTTTTGATTTTGTGTTTCATTGCTGGTTTTTTTTAGTAATGTATTTTTTATGAAACTATCTTTTCATTTTAGCTGTACTAACATGATGGAGCGTAAATAATGCTAATAAAGCGTTTTGATAATATGTTTTTTTTTTTTATCTGGATCGATTTTTTTTCGGCCCATCATCAAAAGTGTCATTAGTACTTTCGGCTATCTTTGTTTTCGGAAGCGGTCTCCTAACACCCAGTATATATTATGTATATATGTCTATCTATAATATAAAGAAAGAAACACAGTCACCGAGATTAAAACTGGTCAGGACAATATTATCGTTATTGTTATTAGACTGTCAAACTGATTTCCAAGTTAAATCCCACTATTAAAGGGAACTTTCTAAAAATCAACATCCAAATAATCGATAAATAAATATGCAAATTCAATATACATATTCGTATTCACCGCACCCAATATCCAAAACAAGAAAGAAGCCAACTCTGTTTAATATTATAGGATGCATGCATTATCTCTCCAATCCACCATCGCAACCGGGTTACAGTTCAGTCTATCCAAATTAAAACGATCACAACTGTAATTAGTCAAACTGTGTAACTGTAATTAGAATTTAAACACATAATATTTACCTCTGTTATATACTTTTGCTGCAACCACCACGCAGGCGCAACATTGAAAACAAAAACAAAAGTTAAGTCACACGGATATATATAAATAAATAAATATATCGTTTAACACAAACACACAGACAAATGTAAATTTCAATGCGTTTACCTGTTCTTTTAGTAGCAGTGCTTGTTGCCTTTTTATCTCTCTTTCCTGTAACAAAGTATTTTGAAGTAAATTCGAATGTCTTAGGCTGGATTAATGATGTCGTCAAGAAAAACGAAAAAAACAATATCTTCGATAATTCCAAAGTTTCGTATAAATAAAACTAAATGTTTATCGTATTTTAAATACCAATTCGATATCTTCGAATAATACGCGTTAGCCCTCTCAAATTCCTTTGATAGCTTCAAGACATGCCACGTAAGTAAAATCTGGAAATAGGGCAGTGCCAAGTCATAACTCATTTTGAAGGGAGCTAGCGCGAAAATTACAGCAAGAGTTTGTGCGAGCGAAACTGCATTTTAAAGAATGGATTATGTAAAAATAGTCTTCAATTTACCCACATTGTCCTGGGATTTGTTGCAAACAAAATCGGTATAATTTAAGATATTTAAATAAATGAAAATCAAAACGAAACTTTCAACAGAGTATCCGTCTACAATCACCATTAAAGGGTTTTTGTGCCAAAAGTCATCATAATGTAAATGCCGCGAAACTCTAATAAATATGAAATCGAAATCTCGGTGATGTTGGAACAGAGATTCAAAACTACAAGGGATCGTTTTGATTCGCCGCTGAAATGATTCTGCGAAGCACTGCTCTTGCTAGGGTCAGTGTTAGCAACCCTCCGGTTGAGCCCCGTGAGCTCACCTACAAACGTTAGGGCAAAGCTGAAATAGCCTCTCAAGGCTATCAGCATAGGTAGGAAGAAAAAAAAAAGAACATTCTACAGTACAGTCTTCGACAGTACGAACCTGTTGTTTTTTAGCTTGCTCCTCCATCCTCTGCTTCTCTATCTCCTCCTGTTTCCTCTTTTTAGCCTTCGTTACAAGCGGACAACATCGAAAGCGTTACAGCAAATCATAATATAAAACACCCGATACATGAAACAAAATAATAAAAAGAAAAAATAAGATCTCTAGAATAACGTCATAAAATAGTTGTTTCCGAATTTAATTCAAAAAAAAACTTTTGTAAATATCCAAAAATAGAAAAAAGGCATATTTCAATTGCTATTAAAACATTATAATTTAGCAAAATTTAAATTCAATTGACAATACTGTGCATACTGGTTGTATTTTAAATTCAAAATAAATAAGTATCTCAATGTTGAAATGTAAGCAGCACATTTAACAAACAAGATATTTAATAACTAGAATCATAACGCAACGTGCAAGCGAATAGAGTGCGAAAACATTCATGCTATATACGTCAGGTTGTGTGTCAATGTCGTAGCAATAACGTAGGACTAGTCGTTTTAAAAAACACCCGTTTACAATAAACATGTCCAATTAAATATTCCTGAAACAAGACTTAAGACAGGAATATCGTATCGTTGATAATAAACGTCAATATTAAGTATAGTTTTAAGAATATGACAGCGGGTGTGGTGACTTCGTCATAATTGAGGTAAGTAGATTTTTTTTATTCTTAAGCCAATCAGTCCACGTTGCTGTCCACACAGCCGAGGACAGACAGGAATGGCGCAAGATGATGCAGGAGAAAGTTATTAGAGGCCACGACCCTCAGCACTGAGGATTATCGACGCAAGAAGGAAGGAAGAAAGCCAATATTATCGTGTCTCGAATTTGTATCGCGTCCGGCAGTGGTTCTCTTACACCCAGTTTGATTACTGTTCCTCTTGTGAACTTGTCTATATATATACATTACAGTGGCTAGTTTTTCGTGCATAACATAAGAAGAATCCAACACAAAGGATTCACATTTTTTAGTACTTGATAAATATATAGTGCCAATGTTTACTGGTGATATACGTAATCAAATGATGATAAAATGCTTTCAAACTTGAATACAATGGAGCTTATAATGAATACCTAGATTCGCGTATTTTACAGACATTAAGTGCTTTTGATAAGAAGTGCCAAAGCTTTCTTTCCTACACTAAAATAATGTTAAACATTAATAAAGTTTAACCCAATTAATTTCGTGTTAATTTCTTATTAAAAAAGTAAAAGAAGCTCACGTATTTACAAATTTCGTTTAATAACCTTATTTTAGTTTTCTGTTCTCCGAATGAGAAGTTTGTGGGGAAGAGAGAGAGCTTTTGAATTGTTTTAACAGAAAATATTTGATTGCTATTCAGCATCTACCAAACCGATTCTATACATTTAACTAGTTGTATCTAAGATCTATCTAAATATTGCTTCCAAATGGGATTTAATTAAAACTATCAAAGCAATACTATGGACTGCAACATTAACTATAAGTGTTTGGGTTTTTTTTTCTCAATTCGTGACGCATTTGCCTAGAACAAGCTTATCAAACGTTCAACGTGTAGTTAATCACCGAATTAGTTGAATTTTGAAAGTTAGTCAATTAACATACCACCATAGTGAAAAGTTAGTAAGAATATATTAAACCCCGAAAAGTTAGTGGTGTATTACTCAAACATACCGATCCGTAATCTTTGTATGGATGTATCGAAATCGATAGAGCCCCGTCTTTTCCGACGCAAAACGTTCCTTGGTTTAATATTTTTTTGGAAACCACATCCGTGACGTCATCGTCTTCGCTCAAGTCTATCACGTCCTTGAGAACCGATTTCTTGGTCTCCTTCGGCATCAAGCTAAGGTTTTGCGACATGAATTCGTTTTTAGCGTCCAAGTATTTTTTCTCTAACGCCACAGCGTTTTCAGTCTTTTTGTCCGTTTGCAGTTTCGACCAATCGCAGCCGTTTATGAACTCAGTTATTCTAGAATACGACTCGATTAGCTTATCTAGATTGTTCTCTTTGTCGGGAGGTTTTTTTTTATCGCCCGCCTTGAGATAATCATAGTCTTTACGTTTCGGCAGATCGAAGGCTGCTTTTTCAGCGAAATCCTTCATTTTATCTAGAGCGTTGTATTCCTCTTGCTCGACTTTCCAATCGAGAATGTTCTTTATTGGGGATTCGTTGGGGCAGCAGACCGGTATCAGTGACAAGCTTATCGGGGGCATGGCTCGTTCTCTGTGGGCCTTAGCGGGGCCCATCGATACATCTGGAACTTTCCATTCCTTCGATACGGACGGCACCGGCTCGATCGTCAGTTGGGTTCGGTTCTTGTTGATGTGCTGTGTTCAATTGTATTTTTTGTTTTCGTTTATTAACCATCCTTCATTTTAATTTACTATCAATTGGATATTCTGACAACATTGTCAATAACCTTCGTAAATTACAATAGAACCCATAGCGAGATAGAATTTACATAAATATATAAGGAACATAAAGGATACAAGACACACAAACTATACTACTGTCTAAGAAGCTTATTTCCTTCGCTGTCTACTGAAAAAAGCAAAAAGTTACTATTTTCTGTTTTTTTTTTTTTTTCAAATTTAATTAATATGGCAACCCCGTACTTTTTGCTTTCGTACTGCAGTATGTGAGCACAATGTTGCCAAGCATCAAATTGATAATAAAATAAAAATAAAAAAAACAAACACAAGCACACGGTTTTATGAACATTTAAGCCTTCGTCAAACAGAACGCGTAATTAGCGCGCGTCAGAGCGCTAAACTAACGCCGCGCTATGACGCCGAGATGTGTTGTACTATTATGGTAACATACCGTCTAACAGAGCCCCAGCCAGCGCTATAAGTACGCAGCACTCTGTCGCGGCGTTAGAACGCTTTGACGTTGAGTGAATGTGTATTAAAATACTAGATAATGCCCGAAAAAATGATATAAATAGTTAGAAAATACCCATGCTTATACAATGCCACATCTGAATCACTCGATTTCTTAATACTTTTAAATTTTCACACTGCTATCGAGGGTACTATGATTTGGCGAAAGCGTTGCGTCAAGGAGCGTTAAGACTCATCTAGTCAATTTGTGTGACATGAAAAGAGCGCGACGTTAAGTACGCGGCGCTAAGTGCGCGTCCTGTTTGACGAAGGCTTTAAAGTAAAAAACTACATTTATTGAAAGAACATGAATTAAAAATGATAATGTGTTGTTGATGTTCAAACACGTTCTTTTCTAAGGCGATTCCCATATTACACTTAACAAATATTATATAACATGAATTAATGCATAATCAATATAATATTATACAATTAAAAAAAAACTGCTTCATAATTTATAACAGAGGAATTAATGCGATAACGCTTTTATTTTTTAAAGAAGAATGTCTTTTGAACGCGACCATATCTTTCCACGAGCCTCTTGTGTGCTTAGTGCGAGTTTTTTAACGTTCTCTATAGCGTAAAAGTTAACTCAAATTTGTATGGAATTGGAATGTTTGCCTACGTTTGCCGCTAGGGGCGCTGTTCTAACTGCATACGAGTTAACTTTTACGCTATCGAGAACGTTAAAAAACTCGCACTAAGCACACTAGAGTCGGGTCGTTGGTGGAACCTACAGACATTACAACATGAATGTCGCCCAAATGAGGTCGAGCTCTCAATAATATTTCTATAGTTTAATGGTGTGCCCATAGGACGTAGTGCTTAATAGCGGAAGTAGGCAACTACTTATAATTAAATACTGCAAAGATACTGATGGTAGGACCTCTTGTGAGTCCGCACGGTTAGGTACCACCACCGCGCCTATTTCTGCCATGAGACAGTAATGCGTTTCGATCGGAAGGGTGAAACCGTTGTAACTATACTGAGACCTTAGAACTTATATCTCAAGGTGGGTGACGCTTTTACGTTGTAGATGTCTATGGGCTCCAGTAACTACTTAACACTAGGCTGTGAGCTCGTCCACCCATCTAAGTAATAAAAAAAAAAGATATTTTCATTACGGTTTTGAAATTTACGACCTATCAAAATACGTAACGCGCTGTAAGTTGAGAGGCAGTTTTTCGTAACGTGCCGTGAGCTGAGTGGCAGTTTTTCGCGACACAAAAGCGCATTCCAGATTGGAAGGCTCCGATTTACCAACTTGGAACTTGGACTTGGAAAGTGATCTCATCTGTATACCATCAACGATTAAAAATACAAATCGGATAGACTCTTATCCCAAAGTTGGCAAAATCCTACCGTGCCAACAATAGATGTACCGAGTTTCATCATTAAAAAACGCATAGATGTGAAATATTCATTTTTATTTACATATTTATAGTATTTTAGTAGTACATATTTATACAAGGTTTTGATTTGAAAAAGTATTAGTAGTTCCAGTTCTTTAGTAGGACTAGTTATTAATTACTCTACTAGTACTAGTTATTCTCTAGTATTTTTGTAGTTAAAAAAAATTGGGAAAAAACTACAAACGGATCCGAGTGAATTACATTCAACAGATACGCCCTTGTGCTGACGATATGACGTCAGTCTTCAGGTAGGTCAAGCTGAGACTATTTTTATTCCATTAAAATAAATTGCCAAAACATTAAAAAAGATATATATTTATTAATTTTAGAGAAATCATAGGCACCCTATCAGCACGAGAAATCATAAGACACCCTATCAGCACTATTAAACATTAATTCTCCTCATTACGTTACGAAGCGAATTTCTAAGCACATGTAATATGAGAACCGTGTATTCTAGCAGACATGACAAAACATCACAGCCCCTCAACTATATATCACTTTGAGATTAATTGTAATCACCTCCAACAGCTGCTGACTCCTGGCCTCCTTCTCCCGCTTCGCCAGCTCAGCCTTCTCAGACTTCTCCAGCTCTCTGACTAGACGCGCCTGAACATACATTCAGTAGTTAGTTTATGTAGGCATTTGTGGTCAAACTGCTTACACAAAACCTATGGGTGTGTGGGAGCCAAGCTCTTGGCCAATAGTTGTGTTACATAAGTGGTGGTTGTATAAGTGTTATGTAGAGTGGATACTAGGCATAGAATAATTTTTCTTTTTTATATTTTTATTTATTGATTAGATGGGTGAAACGAGCTCACAGCCCACTTGGTGTTAAGTAATTATCGGGGCCCACAGACATCTACAACGTAAATGCGCCACCCACCTTGAGATATAAGTTCTAAGGTCTCAGTATAGTTACAACGGCTGCCCTACCCTTCAAACCGAAACGCATTACAGCTTCACGGCAGAAATAGGCAGGTCGGTGATACCTACCCGCGCAGACACACAAGAGGTCCTACCACCAGTAATAAAATCCCTTAAAAAAAAACCCTTTGTACAGAATTGACGGCGAGGCTGGTGAGTCATTAGTGGGTCTGGTAGCGCACCTGGTCCTTGGAGCGGACGGAGTGGTCCCGGCGCGCGTCCCGGGCGGCCTGCTGCAGGCGCGCCAGCTCCATGCGGCGGTCCAGCGGCGGCGGCGTCGGCCGGCTGCCCAGCGAGCTCAGCGCACGCGCCTCCTCCAGCCTGGTGGACGTCACACTTGTCGTTACAGCCCACCAGCACACAACTCCGATAGCACTATGTTAAGTTACTAGCTTTTGCCCGCGACTTCGTTCGCGTGGAATAGTTCACAAATCTATATGCAAAAACTTTGTACACCTTTTTACGAAAATCGCGCGGACGGAGGAGTATGAAATTTCCCACACTTATAGAGAATGTAGAGGAGTGCAGAATGCTCTTTTTTTAATTATTCAGTACCAATACATGCATAAAAGAAACATTACACACATTACCATGTATTTAACACACACATTTATACTCTTTTATTTACTGTCAAACTTTTGTTATTGGTTAAAGTCTGTGGTCTAATTGACAATAAATTAGTATTGTTTGTCTTTAATATTATTTGTCTATAGTGTAAGTCTTGGCGAAATCTGTGATTATAGAAGTATAAGTATTTGACAATAGAACCATAATAATGTTCAAACTTATAATTTCAATTAATTATAGTCGAATTTCGACTACCGGGGGACCACTGGTTTTTTTTTTTATTGCCTCGATGGGTGGACGGGCTCACCGCCTACCTGGTGTTAAGTGGTTACTAAAGCCTATAGACATCTACAATGTAAATGCGCCACCCACCTTGAGATATAAGTTCTAAGGCCTCAAGTATAGTTACAACGGCTGCCCCACCCTTCAAACCGAAACGCATTACTGCTTCACGGCAGAAATAGACAGGGCGGTGATACCTACCCGCGCGGACTCACAACAGGACCTACCACCAGTATTATTAATTCGATACAGTAACCATAAGCACGGACCTCTTGGTGATCTCGGTCTCGTTGAAGACCAGCGGGTCGGCGACGTCGGCGCAGGGCTGCACGTACTCGCCGAGGATCGCGCGCGAACTAAAGCTGAAGTTGTCCAGGGACAACGGCGGACACGGGTTCGAGTCTAGAAACTGAAAAATATAAAATGCGTAACGCAGCAGTTCAGGGATGAACCATAAATGAGTCGACTATTATCAAAGTCGGCAATGTGACTTTTGGACAATTATTGGTAAATCATAAAAACGAATTATTGACTTTGTATTCAATTGGCAGTCACAAAACTCTTCTGAACGACATCTTAGATAAATAACAGGTTAAGTATTAACCTTTATTCAATGCAGGTTTTGAACCGTATTCTTTGAAGGAGACGATTATATTCAAATCAATCTGTATTGACATATCAATAACATTTTTTTGTCCAAATGCACAGATTGCCACCTTTGATAATAGACGACTCAAATATGACATAAGACAATTAAACTGATATCGATGACAGACATTCTGTGTTATGACGACGCTTGCAGCTGAAAGTAAGTATTGTACTTTTTGACGAAGCATGTTGCTGATAACTCTGTTTCTATAATCTGACGAAGAGTGTTGCGGATAATAATATGTACTTTTAGGTTATTAAAATAATATTCTGTGTAAATGTTTGGAAATAAATAAAAATTTGTGGACCGAATGGTAAACAGTCGACGTCGCCCTAAGCGACCTGATCCACTAACGGTGCTTTTAGGTACTACAAGCACCGGTCACCGTTCTCGTCGAACCCGACGCTTGCGACGAAGGGCTCGACGAGTAAATTAACCCACAGACACAGCCCACTGAGTTTCTCGCCGGATCTTCTCAGTGGGTCGCGTTTCCGATCCGATGGTAGATTCTGCGAAGCACGGCTCTTGACAGGGTTAATGTTAGCACCACTCCGGCTTGAGCCTCGTGAACTCACCTACACGCTAGGGTTTTATTTATTGAGATATAAGTTCTAAAGTCTCAGTATAGTTATAACGGCTGCCCCACCCTTCAAACCAAACCGCATTACTGCTTCACGGCAGAAATAGGCAGGGCGGTGGTACCTGCCCGTGCGGACTCACAAGAGGTCCTACCACCAGTATAGTTTGCTGAAGTAGTTAGCTGCTTAATTAGTTAAGCTGGATTAGCCTCTTAAGGCTATCAGCATAGGACAGGCTCGACTGGCCCAGCTGGGACAGTTTACCGATTGCAGTTCCTGCATGGACTTGAGTTTGAGGGCGGCGTGGGGCTCCGGCGGCGAGTAGCTCACGTCTCCCTTAATGCTGCAGTTCCGGGACAACCCTCGGATCACGGTCACTCGCTTCCAGCCTGGGAACAGATATGTTTGGTAGTCTATATATCGACGCTTGAAAGGCAAACGTGACTAAGCGACAATAACTGCTTTGTACATAAATGATAGGCAATAACCATACTCGATGCGGAAAAAAAAAATATTTCTAGGTCTATTAAAATCATTTCAATCCTACAGCTAGATTCGTTAAAATATAATTTTTTTCAGGTTTCAACTTTAAATTAGTCTACTGTAAAGTTCACGCATTGTCGCTTAGTCACGTTTGCCTTTCAAGCGTCGATATCTATACTGAGCCGGTGTTAGAACCCCGCAGACGGGTACCAATTTTAATACGCTTTTATTAGCTTCAGACGTATGTTCGTATGTAACGGAATCTTTGAACATGATTTTGAGCCCCTTCTAAACGTCGAATTAACTCGAAATTTGGTATACTTATTAAGGACCGATGACAGTTCAATATTAAAAAAATATTGAAAATCAACTATAAAAAAAGAATAATAAATAATAGTTTAAAAAAACTAAGAAAATACGCTTTTATAGAAAATCCAACTAAAAAATTGAAAATAAATTTTAATAAATTTGAATTAAAAATTGTGTAAGAAAAAATGATTTTATTGTAAAAAAGCAAAGGCAATTTTTTTTTTTAAAAGCGTACCTAGTGCCAGTGGCAGGCGGAGCTGGGACTCCTTGGGGCGGCGGCTGGAGTCGCTGGCGTCCGAGTCGGAGGGCCCGCTGTCCGACGGGCACTCCGAGTCCGTGCTGGCAGTCTCGCCCAGCAACGCCTTCAGCTTCTCCTGCAAGAGCACCACGTGACGTCACCGAGCTTCCATACTGGTGGTAGGACCTCTTGTGAGTCCGCGCGGGTAGGTACCACCGCCCTGCCTATTTCTGCCGTGAAGCAGCAACGCGTTTCGGTTTGAAGGGTAGGGCTGCCGTTGTAACTATACTTGAGATGTTACAACTTATATCTCAAGATGGGTGGCACATTTACGTTGTAGATGTCTATGGGCTCCAGTAACCACTTAACACCAGGTGGGCTGTGAGCTTGTCCACCCATCTAAGAAACAAAAAAAAACAAAAAAAGACACCACACACATCGCTTTAGGAAGGAAAATGTACTCACTCCTCGGAGAGCACATTCTCTGCCCCGAGGAGGTCAAGATAGATCCAAAGCTGTACAGTTTAGCTGGATATCGGCCTGGACAAAGATATTTTTAATAAATATAGGACGATTATTAAGAGTATTAAGCAGTTGGCAGCGGCTTGGCTCTGCCCCTGGCATTGCTGAAGTCCATGAGCGACGGTAACCACTCACCATCAGGTGGGGCGTATGCTCGTCTGCCCACAAGGGCAATAAAAAAAAAAGATCGCAAAAGACCCATTCCTGAAAGAATTATTCTTGTCTGTGTCCATCATGTTCCCCGGTTGTAAAAATAGGTCATTTTAATGCACTTGAGACTTCGACCTCAAGCCTCACGACGAACGGCGGGTAACACATTTCCAAGTGTATTAGCTCTTGTTATATAGCACATAAGAACAGATTTTCATTTTTTTTATCTTGTCTATCTGAATTGTTGTAGAAGTCCAGAGAAAGTTTAAAAGGTAGATAAATATGAATATGTTCGGAATGAAATAAAAATAACAATTTTCTTTTTCCTTTGATGCGTCCCCCGTCGAACGTATTCCTTTTGTTTGTTTTAAATTTATTTTATACAAAAGTTTAGGTTTTTTATTTATCGATTGAGGCACTACGAAGTCTGCCGAGTCAGCTAGTTTATAATAAATTTGATTGTTCTATTGTTAATGAGTGATGACCGCGAGCATGCAGTGTCCTACCAGGTCGGTTTCCCCGAGGAGCTGCTGCGCCAGCGCGGGGCGCAGGCCGAGGGCGCGGCTCTGCGCGAGCAGGGAGGCGACCGTGTTCTTCTTGGGCTTGCTGACCCCGCGGCCCAGGTTCCGCGGCCTTCCTTCCCGGGATGGCCAGCCCGACACCGCTGTTAAATTAGTTTAAAATACTTATCATCCATGCGTCAATCAATACTCTGTTGTAATTTAATTCTGTATACACATGGTAGTAGGACCTCTTGAGAGTCCGCACGGGTAGGTACCATCACCCTGCCTATGTCTGCCGTGAAGCAGTAATGCGTTTTGGTTTGAAGGGCGGGGCAGCCGTTGTAACTATACTGAGACCTTAGAACTCATATCTCAAGGAGGGCGGCGGCATTTACGTTGTAGATGTCTATGGGCTCCGGTAACCACTTAACACCAGGTGGGCTGTGAGCTCGTCCAAACATCTAAGCACTAAAAAAAAGTAAGGGTGGGTACACACATTCGCTGTCCTCGCTGCCGCTGGACTTGGGTCGCGGCGAGTCTGCCTGCGCGAAGTCGGGCGCCACCCTGCGCGGCTTGGCGCCGGGCTTGCGTCGGGCTGCCAACAGAAATATAAACATAATATCAAATAGATTTAGGTGGTTTTTGTTTGTTTTAATTGATCATATGTCAATGGTGATGTGGGTGACTCACGTGTATTTATTTATTTTATAATATTTTATTATAATTACACTAAACAACAATACATAAATACTTTATTTTATAACAACACATTCATTTATCACACAATCATACAAAACATTATTTACAATAAACAAAATTAATTCACAGGCAAAGTCAGGCGATAGCTGCAGTATAGCGGCGATGATAATATTTCGCTAGTACATCGGTGCATAGACGAACCGGTCGTCGCATTTTTACCGATCCACCGCCAATAGTCGAAATCTGACTCGCGAGCACGCATCACGTATTATCTTTCTGTACTATGCCTTTTTTAATACGCTTTAAGCGCTAATACGCTAAAAATGATTTTATTGTAAGAAAGAGTGGGGTGCTTTTCAGGATATTATCAAAATAACCCTTCTACTACTCATATCTGTTCGTACAATATTTATAACTACTGATACCATGCACCGCACGGTTTTTTTTCCATTTTTTCTTATACTATTTTTAATTCAAATTTATTAAAAAAAAATATTCTATTTTTTAGTTGGATTTTCTATAAAAGCATAAAAGTATTTTGTTGTAATTTTTTAAACTATTATTTATTTTTCATTTTTTAGTTGAATATCAATTTTTTCAATTTTTTTTATATATATTGAATTGTCATCGGTCTTTAATAACTATACCAAATTTCGAGTTAATCCGACGTTTTGAAGGGGGTCGAAATCATGTTCAAAGATTCCATTACATACGAACATACATACTGTTTTGAATTTAGATGTTTGGGACTGGAAAAAGGATAAGTTTTAGGACTCACTCTGTATTTCGTTGATGCACTATTAAAGTTTTCTCACTGGCGAGAGTTATATGTGCTGATTGATCAACAACTCACAATTTTATTGTTTTTGCACCGGCACCATGTTTTAGTTTTTTTTACACACTTCGCGCCATTTTCATACGCGCATAGTTTTTCTTGTAGTGTCAACAGATGGCGTGGATAGGGGATTGAGGAAGGAATAAGGAAAAGGAAGTCCCAACATTTCCCCCCACTTGAAATCATTGGAGGATTTCAAAAGATTTTAATAAGATAATAAGCTNGCTATTTTTACAACCGAGAAATTTCTTAAACTACCTACGTCACTTGAGATTTATAAAAAAAATATTGTTATTTTATGCTTTAAATAGTAAAATAATATTATAAAATAATAGTTATATTGTTATTAGGATAAGATTAAAGCGAAATGAAATGTAGAACTAGAGTTTTCTAACGAATATGCCCCTAGTTACCATAGGTTATCCGGCTCGAAGGACCACTAAATATGTTTTGAATTTAGATGTTTGGGACTGGAAAAAGGATAAGTTTTAGGACTCACTCTGTATTTCGTTGATGCACTATTAAAGTTTTCTCACTGGCGAGAGTTATATGTGCTGATTGATCAACAACTCACAATTTTATTGTTTTTGCACCGGCACCATGTTTTAGTTTTTTTTACACACTTCGCGCCATTTTCATACGCGCATAGTTTTTCTTGTAGTGTCAACAGATGGCGTGGATAGGGGATTGAGGAAGGAATAAGGAAAAGGAAGTCCCAACACATACGTCTGAAGCTAATGAAAGCGTAGGTATTAAAAAGAGGACGTTATGTTGCACGCTACAATTTCAATAGTAATTTGTAATTTTAATTATTATGGACTGCATTCATCTATCTAGGTGGAAAGTATGACTATACGGAGGTCGTGCACTCACAGGATCTATCGTTGGAAGCGCTGAGCGAGCTGCTGAGTGACGTCAGTCGGGACAGCGCATCCGAGGCTTGAGTGCACGCTGAAACATTACACAGTTCAAATCGTAAATATGTGCTTTATTCCCATCGAAATACGGTATTTTGTTTGGATATATTCATATTCATAGATACGTTTCAATCTACATCAGCCTTTCCCAAAGTGGGCGATAGCGCCCCTTTGTGGGCGCTGCAGGCCTAAAGACGGGTGGTAAGAGACCCAGAAAAAAAAGCGGGCGTTCTGTAGAGACTTGAAGGCGATTTGTAATTTCATCTAGGAGGACTTTTACACACCGACTAAGCTCTCGCTATAGTGTTATTTAAGTAGGTGAAAAAATGGGGCCACTAAAAAATAATTGTTTCTCAAAGTAGGCAGTAGAGAAAACAAGTTTGGGAACTCCTGATCTACATGGATATTGAACACGAATGTTGCACTCGATGTGGGTATCGAACCCGCAACCCTCTGCTCAGCACTCAGCTACTACATCTCCGAGACGGTAATCATCATCATCATTCTCCTGCCCTTCTCCCAGTCACCTGGAATCGGCGCAACATGTTTTCTCCTTCAATACTTCTCTATCATATACTTTCTTCACTCACTCCCTTCTTACCCATATCGTCTTTCACGCAATCCATCCATTTCTTCTTAGGTCTACCTCTTCCTCTATATCTTTCCACATTCATAGTTAACACTCTCTTGCCAACCTCATTTTCATTTCGTCTCATCACATGTCCATACCGTCCCAAACGCGCGATTCTCAACTTCTCTGTCACAGGTGCCACTTTCAGACTTCCTCTAACACAGAGGTTTCCAAGCTTATTTTGTCTACTGCCCACTTTGAGCATAAATTCATTTTTAGCGCCTCCATTTTTTCACCTACTGAAAAACCACTATAGCGAGAACTCACTTGATGTCTAAGAGTCCTCCTAAATTAATTTACAAATCACCTCCCAAGACTTTACACAACGCCCCCATTTTTTTCTAGGTCTCTTACCGCCCCCCTTTAGGCCTGCAGCGCCCACAAGGGGGCGTTATCGCCCACTTTGGTAGAGGCTGCTCTAACATATTTATTCCATATTCTATCCATTCACGTTACTCCACACATCCATCGCAACATTCGCATCTCTGCTGCATGCAATCGCAATCGTTAGACGGTTATCATGACGGTAATCATTCATCATTAAATAATTAAATTTTGAATCATTTTTTGTACGTGTTCGATAATTAACAAGCACATTTAACATGTACAGTCGCGTGTAGTGACAAAAATCAAAAAGTATAAATGAGTATTTCTGTTAGAAATTTCTTTCTGCTCATCGAGTCCAGCTCGTACTCACAGGGTGTGGGCTTGAGCGATAGGTTCAGAGGCTTGTCGTCGTCAGCGGACTTGGAGCCCAGGTCCAGAGGGCTGTGCTCGCCACCGACGGACTTGTTCATGCCGACTCCTGACTCTGAAACCGAGAACCAGGTTATTAGACTCGCAAAAATATTCGACGCTTGAAAGGCAAACGTGACTAAGCGACAATAACTGCTTTGTACATAAATGATAGGCAATGACCATATTCGATGCGCAAAATAAATATATTTCTAGGTCTATTAAAATCATTTCAATCCTACAGTAAGATTCTTTAAAATAGATTTTGTTTTCAGGTATTTCAACTTTAAATTAGTCTACTGTAAAGTTCACGCATTGTCGCTTAGTCACGTTTGCCTTTCAAGCGTCGATATTATTATGAGAATACTGATGTACAATACGACCGACGTAACTTGGCGAGTCCGAACTTCGCGCAGAAGGCTGCGCACAAACGTTTTTAGGAACCAAATGGTGGTATGAGCAACGTGCGCGGGGCGGAGGTCTAGGCTAGGGATTGACTCTATGTAAACACAATCGTCCCTTTATTCAATCAAATATCACAATCGATTTTTATCGTATTGGAATTTATTGATTTTTGTTTATATGAGATAATGAATGAAATAGATTTACAAACATATTGAATGTTGTCGTTAGTAAACGAGACTTCATCTTTAATAAAAAAAAAAACTAATAACACTTTTATTTTCTTGGTTGAAAGACATGATTTAGTTGAATATCAGTTATTTATCAACAACTACTACAATAGGGACTGTTCGTGAATATTTTAAACCTCCTATAAAATGGAATATAAATATATATTTTTATATAAATTTTAATCAATTTGAAAAAAAATCGATTAAACAACATCCTCAAACACGCATATTGGACATCCCTTTTCTTGACATCGTATAAATTCGGTAATTCTCGGTATGCGGTAATGTGTCTCACTCACACGCTAGCATTAGTGTCGTGTTCGTGTCGCTATCTCTGTCTTGAGTACGGGCGGCTACAAAAGTTTTCATTGATTTGTTATTATTATACTGTTTTTGTTTAGTGCTCAGTTTTTTGTTTAGTTTTAAGATTGTTTGTGTTTAAATTTATTTTAGTATTGAGTATCCCTTGGCATTTATACTATTCGTTAACAAAGATGCCACCAAAGCATAATAGTGTTTTAAATCGACGGCCGACAAACATAATTTTTGATTTTTTTTTAAAAAGAAAAAGAAGAAGGCGTAAAAGATGTTGACAGTTTTATTTAGAGTTGCTAACGATCTGGTGTATCGCAACGCACAGTACAGCGGATCGCAACTGAAGGCAGTGTTCGGGCTTACTTTCGAATTAATTTAACTACGTTATTTTTACCGCTTTCTGTCTTAATTTATTATTTTTTTATTACCTCTCTTTAATTTATTACGTTATTTTTATAGCTTTCTGTCTCATAGTGTTTTGATATTCATTTTATTTGTACTTGGTCCCTGTATATGGAAATTTTAATTCGTATTTTGATTTAAAAAAATGAATGCTAATAACACTTTTTTTTACAAGTGTATATGCGCGAAAGTTGACCTGCGGCTATATTCAGACTCGCCAAGTTACGTCGGTCGTACTGTACAATCCGATGATAGATTCTGCGAAGCACGGCTCTTGCTAGAGTTCGTGTTACCAACGTCGTCAGGTTTGAGCCCCGTGAGCTCACCTACTAGTTAAGGTTACGCTGAAATAGTCTCTCAAGGCTCTCAGCTTAGGTAGGAAAAAAAAATTTGAACAAACTCTTTCTTCTATACTAATAATATAAAGAGGAAATATTTGCTTTTTGTTTTTTTTTTATAACAACTAAGAGGCAAACGAGCAAGACGGGTCACCCGATGGTAAGTGATTTACCGCCGCCCACGGTCACCAACGTTTACGCCAGTGCGTTGCCTACCCTTCAGATAAGAATATGCTCTTTTCTTGAATAACCCAATGTCGCAGTTTGTTTATATTGAATAGGCTCCGAAACTATTGAACCGATTTGAAATATTATTTCACTGTTTGGAAGCCAGACTATTCCCGAGTGATATAGGCTCAAAAAAATTAGGGATCCTTACGAAAACTCCAATAATGTAAATCAAGGTGTAAAAAAATACCTAAAATAATCTTTACATCGCGTGCCCTGCGAAAACTATTGATGATAAAATAAAATAATGTACTACGATTTTGTAGAACACATTATTATTTACAAAAAGTGTCGCGACAGCATAATATGTCTAATTATTATAGTTATGCCGCAATAAGTGTTCTTTTATTTAAAAGCTAAAACAACGTCAAATATCGTTGAAATTTTTGTTAAAGACCCGAGCGGAGCCGGAGCGGGCCGCTAGTCTTCAATATTTAAATATGGCAATTGGCTTCAAATGAACTTTCGAAAATTTGATAAGTAGTATTCCATCAGTAATTACGTAAATTTATCAATTTTATAGGTTTGATTTTTATTAAACAGTTCTCAGTTCTTTTGTCGTGGAAGTCATTAATGAACATGTTTAATTTGAAAGAAAAAAAAAATGTACCCGTTTGCGGGATTCGAACACCGGACACTCGCATCGCTCGATACCAGTACACCGTCTTAACCTTGAGGCCGCGGCGACGTTAAAACTAAAGGAACTTTATTATCACCTCCTGAGGGCGTAGCACCAGCGAGCTGCCTCTCCAGAGCCGCTAAGCTGACGCCGCTCTGACTAGCTATGGTTTGTAGCAGCTCCCGAGATATACCTGTGACAGAACTTCAATTAGACGATTGCCCTTATTATACTCCTTTGCTGGTACATATACTCCGCGCGCGAGCTCCGAGGATTCGGGGGCTGAGGAAGCGGGCGGGCGTGCACCGCGCCCGACCGTCGCTTCATACCCCGCACTCTCCCAGTACTAGTGTTGACCTTAACGTGAGAGTACGCTTACCGACTCGTTGGTTTTAATTTTGCGATAGCAGTGTTAATTACGGGTGATTTCTAATATAAATAGTCTTACACTTATAAGTATTTTTGTTTGCACAAATAGCTATTTAATTTGATGAAAAAGGAATGGCGAGCACTAGCATAATAAACATGTCTTAGCATTACAGGAATATTACTGGCAAAAGGATGGCTTAATTGAGGATGTTGTCGAATCATTTATTATTGAAGTATGTGAGGAGAGTGACATCAAGAGTACACCAAATTCTTCTCCTACTGATTAATCTGATTGCGAGAGTAATTAATAAGATTTCACGTTCATTTTGTTGAATAAAAATCAGTTCATTAAATGAAATTCATACGTGAACAATTGTTTTTTTTTTTTTTCAAGTACATAATACCCTCATAAAACTATTTAATAATTTACACTCGCACGGAGGCTTAAGATGTGTTAGTATCGATAGCGCAATATCGACTAATTACAACACTAGCTCATGACGTCAACATTCCTTAAAAATCCTCGGAGCTCGCGCGCGGACAGTAGATAACTGATGGATATTTTAAAAAATACGCACGTTTGAAGGGTGGAGTAGCCGTTGTAACTATACTGAGACCATAGAACTCATATCTCAAATTGGGTGGCGTCATTTACGTTATACATGTCTATGGGCTCCAGAAACCATTTAACACTAGGTTGGCTGTGAGTTCGTCCACTCATGTGAGCAATATTTTTTTTTGTTACATATCTGGTATATTTATTGGTGGTAGAACCTGTTGTCAGTCCGCGCGGGTAGGTACCACCGCCCTGTCTATTTCTGCCGTGAAGCAGTAATGCGTTTCGGTTTGAAGGGTGCGGCAGCCGTTGTAACTATACTGAGACCTTAGAACTCATATCTCAAGTTGGGTGGCGGCATTTACGTTGTACATGTCTATGGGCTCCAGTAACCACTTAACACCAGGTGGGCAGTGAATTCGTCCACTCATCTGAGCTATAAATAATTTTTTTTACATATTTACCAATTAAATTGTGGTCAATAATCTAACCTGCGTAATCGGAGAAGTTATGCGGCGGAGTTGAATTGTGTGCTCTCTCCTGCTTGCCGTGGGGCAGTCGGATCACTTCCACCGAGGAGCGAGACGCGCCGTACTCGTCCTGGAACAAAACCCGCAATGTAAGTGCAGTGTCCGGGGACGCGCGGGGTCAACACACATCCCGGATCGAAAGGCGTTATACCGTACTAGTAAGATTTTTGGTCCTCGTGTGTCGAGGTAAGTAGCAGCATAGGTTCTGGATATATATTAATACTAGCTGTACCCGTTCGCTTCGCTGGGCATTTAAAATTAACATTATTATTTCTCACCCCCACAAAGATTCTCATCACTAACGCCCCCGCAACTGGTGTAGGGAGTCCAACACTCATATAAATATTAGCCTATCCATTAAGTACGTGTATTTTGTACATGGATACCAAGTTTCAAGTCAATCGGATGCACGGTTCAGTAGTTATAACGGAACATCCGTAAAAATCACTGTAGATTTATATATTAGTATAGATTGTATAGACGTTTTAGCGTTTATAAGTATAGTACAAGGAATCATAGTTTGGGACCAGGTGACCGTGTGATTAGTTCTTTATTATTTATTTATTTATTAAACATGACACAGGCCTTGACCTCGTCCGCTCAAACGTAGGACTTGAGTCCGCACGGGTAGGAACCACCGCCCAGCCCATTACTGCCGTGAAGCAGTAATGCGTTTCGGTTTCAAGGGCGGGGCAGCCGTCGTAACTATACTGAGACCTTAGAACTTATATCTCTAGGTGGGTGGCGCATTTACGTTGTAGATATCTATGGGCGTCAGTAACCACTTAACACCAGGTGAGCTGTGAGCTCGTCCACCCATCTAAGCAATAAAAAATAACCGTGTACTCACCACCTTAGGCCTCTTGCTCGGTAGCGGCGCGCTCCTGTCCCCCGACGACGGATGCACCGACACTTGTGGAGGGTCCAAGGATATGGTCTTTTTCCTGCCTCTATTCGTGGAACCGGGGGGCGCCTGCCAAGGATATATCGTAGACGTTAGAACGAGACGTACGAGGCAGAGTGAGTGTGAACGAAAGAGACAAAATATAAACTGTTGATTGATCGGTATTCAATGATAAAATAAACGAAATGGACACTATTGTCTCGATCGGATAACAGCGGGTGATCTTCTCTTTGTATCCATCATTACTATTATCATTTTCGAATTATTGAAAAATATACCATATTGACCTTTTTTTTTCCTACCCAAGCTGATAGCCTTGAGAGACTATTTCAGCGTAACCTTAACTAGTAGGTGAGCTCACGGGGCTCTAACCTGACGACGTTGCTAACACTGGTCCTAGCAAGAGCCGTGCTTCGCAGAATCTACCACCGGATCGGAAACGCGACCCACTGAGAAGATCCGGCGAGAAACTCAGCGGGCTGTGTCTATGGGTTAAATATTGAGCGACAGACACCTCAAGATTTTGATTTCTCTGTAATTATTACATATTCTCCGTTGTTCTGGTTTTGGAAAAAAAAACTGACTTTTCAAACGATAATTATAACGCTAAAACTCATCAATGGCTACTGAACAAAACTATTTGACCTAGGAATTGTATAGAAAAATTACCTTGGGACCCGCCAGGGATGAGGTGTACTTGATGATTTCCGTATCCGGGGGTAGCCTCACTCCCCCCAGTACTGACGCCGGATCACTGTACCGTAACCAAAACAATAATGAAATTATTATACGACCTTTTTCGATTACAATAACTAATTCATTCAATAGCACAGTTATAGATCAAATTTGACAACGCTATATAACCAATTAAGATATTTATTATGATGTTAAATATATTCGTTGTCTCGTAGAAAACGCATTTAACTATAAAACGCGCAATGTACATCAATCTATTATGTATTTATCTTATTTTGATATATCATGACTGAACACTTGTCATGAAGGACTACGTGTTAATCTTACATTTTGGTAACCGGTAAGGTTTTGTTTTTAAACATTTTTTATCTTTTGTTTTTAATTTCTCTAACAACAAAAACTTTATCTTACCCTCCTTCCAGAGCCGCACTAACATAAAAAATATTTTTAAATTATGTTTGGATACATGGTTTTTGTTTTAAATGGATTAATGTAGCCGGAGAAAGGGCCGCCTAAAACTCGAAGTGTCGTCGTCTACATTGACAATGTTATTAACACGAGTGCTGCTGGACAAACAACATGTATCATTAAACTACACATCTCTAAATAAAGTGAACAAAAAAATAAATTTAACAATGTACAAAAACAATTTTCTTTTTTTTTAACCCTTCCGTGCACTTTTTAGTATAAAAATTTGAGTGTCGGAGAAGTTTATGTATTAAAAAAATACGCCTTAAATTTGGTCAATGTAATCTGCAATACCCGTAAATAATAAAATATGACGCAAGAGGTCAACGACCCGACGCAACGTGTGAGGCAAAGGAATTCTCTTTCTTTAGTTCAAAGGCCCGTGGTGTTTGAATTTTTTAATTTGGTTTACCTTAGTGAGATACAGGGTGTATATTTTATATATTAAAAAACGTAACTAATCAAACAGTTGCTTAAACCACTGTAAATATATTTTATTTATTTATGTATTAAAAAAAGTACTGCCACATCACATACATTTAAAATTGAGAATAACTTAAACCATTTAATTTATGGCCTGATGCATGTGACAATAATGGCGTACATAACATTGGCAATTCATCGGCTCGAAGATGGCATACGGACTTTTTGGCGGGAACGCGAGGAATGAAGTTGTGTGATTTGTTTTATTTTATCTATTTAGTGTTTCTTCGGGTTTAAATGTGTAATAATGGTGGTTTATTAACTGTTTAATATCTGTGAAAGTGCACAAATGTGGGAAAATGAAACAAAGCCGCTGGACGTAACTTCTCGGGATCCTCCAAAAAGTCCATTGAAATAATCTTAGTATTTGACCACCATTTTACTGAGATTATATTTCATCCCATTTCATTTCATTTAATTTCATCCCAGTTGATTAATGTCTCAAATTAATCATCTTCATTTCATTTCACTCCATAAGATCATTTTTCATAAAAATATGAATAATATAAATTAAAATAAGACATGACTTAAAGGTCTCAGTTACCAGATCATAAAATCCCTTAAAAAAAAAAGATGGAATACAATAATTATACCTTAATATTGTGTGTGGAAGTCCTGTGAGGGAGTCAAATCCGGCGTGTCGGTCCTTTTCTGAACCCATTCCGAAGGGGTATAAGGGAGACATATTCTGTAACGAAAACGATTACCGGTTTCAAAACAATTATGCTGAATTAAATATTTACATATCGTGCTTGGTTCATGGGAAGCTTTAATGTGGGTATTGTGCTTTCTGTTTTTGGGTCGATGAGTTATCCGCTAAAGTGGTTTGAGTAGTATCATATGTTATGTATGTATGTAGGTGATGTTAACGATCTTCTTACTAAGGCACCGGAATATCTAGTAGACTCTGAGGAAGACGATTCCGAAGATACTTCTAAAATTTTTCTATTGGTGTTAGGACCTCTTGTGAGTCCGCGCGGGTAGGTACCACCACCCAGCCTATTTCTGCCGTGAAGCAGTAATGCGTTTCGGTTTGAAGGGCGGGGCGTTCGTTGTAACTATACTGAGACGTTAAAGCTTACATCTCAAGGTGGATGGCGGATTTACGTTGTACATGTCTATGGGCTCCAGTAACCGCTTAACACCAGGTGGGCTGACGACGTATGGTGGAAGAGGAGGGCGGTCCTCAGTGGCGTACCTTGCCCTTGGCGGCGGCGACGGCAGCGTGGTAGGCGCCGTGCGCGGCGGCTTGCGCCAGCATGAGGTCCCCACGCAGCAGAGCAAGCTCGCGCTCCTTGTTCTTCGACGGACCCGACGACGATGACTTCCCTGTAAAAGAATGTTCATTACTCAACGGTAGGAGCATAATGACAGATCGCCTTCTCGCATTAAAACTGTATAGTCTCAAAACTTACTAATTTTACAGGAGAGTGTTTCAAAGGTTTAATCACTACATAGTATAAAACAAAGTCGCTTTCTCTGTCCCTATATCCTTATGTATGCTTAAATCTTTAAAACTACGCAACGGATTTTGATGCGGTTTTTTTAATACATAGAGTAATTGAAGAGGAAGGTTTATATGTATAATAACATCCATTGAATAGTGGAGAAATCAATAATAAATTGCAGTTTCCGAAGCGAAGCGGGTCGCTGGTATGTAATATTTTAATAGTAATCTTATGTAATTGCAAAATTTATAGTTTATTTTTTACCAGTTACATTATCTGTATTTTAAAGTAAGACAAAATTATGTATTAATTTTGTTAATAGTAGTCAAAACATAGGTAAATATAAAAAAAAAACAACTAAATTTCGTCTTTTGACTGTATTGATGAGAAAAATACCGGTGATACCAAATGTTTACGCATATTTATACAATTTCGAACATTTTTGGAAATTGTACACTTTTAATGCGAAAAGGCAAGATATGTTTCTCGATTAAATCACTTTTATGTGGATCCTTGTGTAGTTTCTCAGTTTCTTCGAGTGTCCAACGACCTCTGGACTGATTTTGAAATGTTGTACTTGTCAATATTTTTTTTAAGACTTACTCCTAAGAACCTTAACATCTAGGAACAGCGGTCAGTTATCCGGCCACAAAATTGTTTTTAATATGCACAATTCAATTCTGTTCTACTTTTTTATTTATCTAAGATAGGCATGGATGTTGGAGGCGATTGCATGCAGCAGAGAGATGCGAATGTTGCGATGGATGTGTGGAGTAACGAGAATGAATAGAATACGAAATGAATATGTTAGAGGAAGTCTGAAAGTGGCACCTGTGACAGAGAAGCTGAGGAGTGCGCGTTTGAGATGGAATGGATATGTGATGAGACGAAAAGAATATGAAAGGTCACTGGGAGAAGGACAGGATAATGGTGATGATGAGACATGGATATTGGAGGGCATGAATGTCAATACCCTCCAATATACATGTCATGTGACAACGCTAATGCCTCAATTACAGAGGTGCTATTAGTAACCGGTTCCCCATAGAACAAATGATAGCTTTCCCACAGAACAAATGATAGCTTCCCCACAGAACAAATGATAGCTTCCCCACAGAACAAATGATAGCTTCCCCACAGAACAAATGATAGCTTCCCCACAGAACAAATGATAGCTTCCCCACAGAACAAATGATAGCTTCGCGACAGAAACGAACGGTACGGTACAAGTACAATACTCACTGGACTGCGAAGAGGACGGGTTAGTTTTGGCCGGCTTGTGCTGATGGGGCGCTGACACTAGACTGTTGAGCGAGGCCAGACTCGACAACGACTGGGAATGCATTGTTGAGGGAGACGAGGTCTTCGGGAACCCGTAATTGGAACCTGAAAATTAAATCACACTTGAATTTTTCATTGTTAGTTTCAAACATAAAAATGTATACTGCAATTGAGGAAGAGTAAAAACGTGCTATAGAGGTTTCTGTACGTAAATAGTTGCAGGTACGTAACAAGGTGGAGATACGTAATTAGGCGGGGGTACGTAATTAGGCGGAGGTACGTAATTAGGCGGAGGTACGTAATTAGGCGGGGGTACATAAATTGATACCAAACTTCTACCCTTTTTTTGAATGGATAATCATTAGATTACTTTTAAGTATAGGATATTGAACAATGGGTTTTATTTGTGACAGATAACTAAAAACATGTTCGGCTCAACCTTTATATTTATATTAACTGTTACGAGTCTTGGGCGACATCTAATTTTGTCACATATAGAGCATTAAATAAAATACAACAGATCGACATACCCATTGCCAAACGAGGTTTTTAGCAAGGTATGCCTTTGGAAAAATGCTTATATAATCTTTAGTGTGGCCGCAGAGTATGTTACAACATTAGCCGGTCATGTAATGATGAGGTCTGTGCCTCTTTTCTACGTTATCAAGGGAAAAAGTACTCACTCCAGTCCGCCATATTTGGTTGCGAGGAGTTATTCGTTGAAGGACTCTTCTCCTTGGCGGAAGCGCTTGATGATGTACTGCTCCGGCCCGATCTGAAAATGTATTTATCATTTTAATGTAATAAATAAATAAATAAATATTAACTAACAATCACGCCACGTTAACTGGTCCCGTGATAAGTTCGTAAAGAACTTGTGTTACAGGTACCAGATAACGGAAATAAATGTAAGATTTTTATTATACAAATACGTATATTTAATATACATCCATAACCCTGGAAAAGACATTTTTATATTAATCATACGAATATCTTCCCTTGGCGGGATTCGAACCCGCGACCCCCTTGTGTAGTGACCATGTCAGTTACCACTACACCAGACGGCCGTTAAATGAGAGCCGTAATGAGAAAACAATCATCAATTTCATCAATCAACAATCAAATTAATTTTAATGGAGTGAAATATGTTATTTTTTAGACAAGTAACGAACTCACAGCCCATTTAAGTGGTTAAGCCTGTAGCTTCACACAGCGAATGCCGCGGCCTCCCTTGAGACAGCACGTTGAGGTCTCAATTATGTTCTAATTAAAATTGTTCCATCGTTAAAACCAGAACGCCAGAAAGAAACTGACGTGACGATGGTACCTAAACTTGGACATTTATATTTCCCTATCATTTGCTGATAGTCTTAGGGGCTATTCTAGTTGCGGACGGGTAGGTAAGCTCACGGGGTCAACCTGAGAGAATTTGCTAACACTAGCCCTAGCAATAGCAGCAGAATCTACCACCGGATCGGAATCGCAACCCACTGAGAAGATCCGGCGAGAAACTTTGTAGGCTGTGTCTATGGGACGCACATTCAAAATACGCTCCTACTAGCCATAAAAGCGTTCGCAGTATCCTGGTATTGTACTTTAAAAACGTCTTTTATCCGGTGTTAAGTCCTTTATCGCCTTGTATGCTACCCTTGTGTGTTGTGAGCTTGTACCCAAATATTCTCAATTATGTCACCTTACAAGACTTTGCGGTCATCTCAAGTCTGTCCATTTGTAACTGATCAATCTACTTTTCCTAAGTTATTAGTCAAATCCAAGTCAGTTGTGGGCACAAAGATTTGTTAGTCAGTTCAAAGATATGATAGACAACAATGAACCCTTCTACTGCCAAGGTATTGGATTGACCCTTTTTTTTATTGCTTAGATGGGTGGACGAGCTCACAGCCCGCCTGGTGTTAAGTGGTTACTGGAGCCCATAGACATCTACAACGTAAATGCGCCACCCACCTTGAGATATACGTTCTAAGATCTCAGTACAGTCACAACGGCTGCCCCGCCCTTCAAACCGAAACGCATTACTGCTTCACGGCAGAAATAACAGGGTGGTGGTACCCACCCGCGCGGACTCACAAGAGGTCCTACCACCCGTAATTACGCAAACTATAATTTTGCGGGTTTGATTTTTATTATTACCCTGGGTTGTCTATTGTAACTTTCAAGAATCGGATTACCTCTCAGATCTTCCAGGTGGCTTGACTGGCTTGTTCTGCTTCATTCCGCTTCCAGATAAAGCTGATAGTGCGGCATAGGGATCGCCCAGCGGTGGGAAGTTCAGGCCTGAGGCTTGGAGACGAGCGAGATAGTCCTGGGCCGCTAGGTGTGAAGCCATCGACCACCACGCTGCGCCTGGGCAGATAATATACATATTTCATATATATTTTACTTATTTATAAGTACATAACTAATCTGGCCATAAATACTGTTACATAAAACACTTTTCTCTTTTTTTTAATCCTTTGAGTTTGGAACCTTTGAATTTGGTAAATTATTTTTAAGTCGGGGTCAGTAAGGGTCAGTGATGGTATGATGGGGCGGGTCTTATCAATGAGTCACCAAATTACATTTTTGTGAAATGGTAAGGGACTCCGTACCTGGTCACAAGGCACGAACTACCTAAGTCCGGCTTGAAACCAACGTTCCGGCTTGAAACCGTTTATAAGAGCTGAAGACTGGCCCTCGTCTAGCCCAGACCTCAAACCTTTAGACTTCAAATTGTGGTCAGTTTTAGAGGACACGGCCTGCTCTAAATGACACGGTGACATTCAAATCTCTCAAAAAATCTTTGGAGCAAGCAGTGGAGAAATTCCCCTTGGAAACAGTGCGTAAGTCCATAGGTTCGTGGTCAAACAGATTAAAGGCCTGTATAAAAGCCAAAGGTGGCCATTTCGAATCGATTTTATTTTTTATGTATTGCGGAGACTTTAATAAATATGTAGGCATATATATATTTTAATAATATTACAATACTTCATTTAAAAAAAATGCATTTTCATCTGTAACAGAACTTATAGCTGGACTAAATTCGAAGTCTTAGTGTGTGTACCTTATGATCGTTGATTATTAGGATATAATAGTCTTTTTTTTATTTATTCTGACGACTAGCTATATGGATTAGATTGCTAGATTTGTGAACGCTGTGTCAATTAAATCACTTTTTTATTGACGAGCGTGCTGCCCACCTCATGGTGGGTGGTTACCATCGCCCATGGACTTCAGCAATGCCAGGGATAGAGCCAAGCCGCTGCCTACCGTTGGAGATTGCCTTTTTAATACGCTTTTATTAGCTTCAGACGTATGTATGTTAGAATGTAACAGAATCTTTGAACATGATTTTGACCCCCTTCAAAACGTCGGATTAACTCGAAATTTGGTGTACTTAATAAGGACCGATGAAACTTCAATAATAAATAAAAAATAAAAATTCTACTAATAAATGAAAAATAAATATTAATTTAAAAAAACTAACAAAATACGCTTTTATAGAAGATCCAACTAAGAAATAGAAAATAAATTTGAATTAAAAATAGTGTAAGGGTGCTTTTCAGGATATTATCAAAATAAACCTTTTACTCATATATCTGTTCATAAAATATTTATAACTACTGATACCATGCAAACCAAACGTTTTTTTACAATAAAATCATTTTTTCTTACATTATTGTTAATTAAAATTTATTTACTATTTTTTTGGTTGGATTTTCTATAAAAGCGTTTTTTTTTTGTTTTTTATAAACTATTACTTATTTATTATTTTTAATTCACCATCCACATATGTTAATTTACAGATATCGGGTACTGACTTGCGGCCGGATGCAGGCCGAGCGAGGCGGCCTGGTTGGCGGCGACCCCGAGCGTCGTCGGCGGCGGGTACCGGGACCCGAAGCCGAAGAGCGCGGCCTGCGCTTGAGCCTGGGCCTGCGCCGCCGCCCCGCCGGCACTCCCATCCCTGCCCCAGTACGCTGAAAAGAAAACGCATCGTCTTATTTACCCTGTGACAGACCGTGAGTGAATGAGTGAGTTGGTGAATGAGTGAGTGAATGAGAAAGTGAGTGACGACGCTTGTAGCTGAAAGTAAGTAATGTACTTTTTGAAGAAGCATGTTGCTGATAACTCTATTTCTGTAATCTGACGAAGCATGTTGCGGATAATAACATGTACTTTTAGGTTAGGAATATTATGTTCTTTTTTTTATAATAAATTTGTGGTTTTAATAGTTATCAGTGAGATGTGAGTGAGTGAATGAGTGACAAACAGACCGCCCACCTTTTTTTTAACGCTGGATAATCCATTTGCATATACCCGGTCGAGGGGGGTAACGGACCGGATTATGTCGGACTCCGGCGCCTCCTGAGAGGAAGAAGGGGAGAAGAGAAGGACCGAGGTCTCCTCTACCTCCCCCAATTTCTCACAATAGACAACGCCTTGAAGTAGGCGCGCGAGGCACTTGCTCCATAGAACCGACTATTTTTTTACCGACTAAACCCCATCGAGCTCCACCACACCGACTACACAAAACTTACGGTAAACAGACCGCCCACCTGATAGTGAGCAGCTACTGTCACTCATTGACATCGACAATACCAGGGGCACAGCCAAGTCACTACCTGACGCTTCATTATTATATATTTAACATACATAAAGGTCACGACCCTCAGTATTGGATACGATGCAAGGATTTTACTGGTGGTAGGACCTCTTGTGAGTCCGCAAGGGTAGGTACCACCGCCCTGCCTATTTCTGCCGTGAAGCAGTAATGCGTTTCGGTTTGAAGGGTGGGGCAGCCGTTGTAACTATACTAAGACCTTAGAACTTATATCTCAAGATGGGTGGCGCATTTACGTTCTAGATGTCTATGGGCTCCAGTAACCACTTAACACCGGGTGGGCTGTGAGCTCGTCCACTCATTTATGCAATAAATAAAAACATTCATTACCGTATAATCTCATATCCACACGACCTCCCACCAAACACATAAGCGAACGGAAACCGCGTATTATCTTTTTATTAANAATGTAAAGATTTTGCCGCTAAACAAACTTTTCTAAATAGTTTTGAATAGTTCCTGACATATTGATGAAATGTTTCATCATTATTATAAGCTTTTTCAGAGTACAGATCATATAACTTTTTTCTACTCTTGTACACTCCGGTGGTGGCCCACTCGCTGAACACGGTTTTGTTTTTTAATGTTACAGTTTTAGGAATAAAACGTAATATACGAATAACGAAATATACTTTTTAACGTAAGTTAAAAAGTATATTTCGTGAGACAAAAAACAAACATTACGCCATTGTGTGAGTCACCTCAATACGAAGCCGTTTTCGACTCATTGACCATTAACAAGAGTGGACAGTGCCTTTCGCGGCATTTAACATTGATCAATCCCTGTTTTTTTAATACGCTTTTATTAGCTTCAGACGTATGTACGTTTGTAACGGAATCTTTGAACATGATTTTGAACCCCTTCAAAACGTCGGATTAACTAGAAATTTAAAGAAAAAAAAAATTTTTATTGCCCTTCTAGGCAGACGAGCATACGGCCCACCTGATGGTGAGTGGTTACCGTCGCCCATGGACTTCAGCAATGCCAGGAGCAGAGCCAAGCCGCTGCCTATCGCTTAATACTCTCCACAAGCCTCGTTTGACATGTCATAGCGCTTGGGAAACACCGTGGAGGGGAGTTCATTCCATAGCCAGATGGTACGTGGCAAAAAAGACCTCTGCAAACGCACTGTGGATGACCGCACTGGCTCCAGGTAGTATGGATGAACTCTACTCCGGTCGCGGGCGGTGCGATGGTAAAAACGAGATGCCAGTATCATCTCGAACAATTCCTCAGAGCACTTCCCATGGAACATATGGTACAAAATACAGAGGGAACCAAAGTCCCTGCTTTTTATTGTAAAAAAAAAGCGTGAGGTGCATGGTATCAGTAGTTAAATATTTTATGAACAGATATGAGTAGAAATGTTATTTTGGTAATATCCTGAAAAGCACCCCACGCCTTTTTACAATAAAATAATTTTTTCTTACACTATTTTTAATTCAAATTTATTAAAATTTATTTTCAATTCTTTAGTTGGATTTTCTATAAAAGCGTATTTTGTTAGTTTTTTTAAACTATTATTTATTTGTTTAAGTATATGGATAGACTAACATCCGATGTTATGCTAAGTAGAGATAGCAAATAGACATCACAACTTGAATTCCACTGGACGCTTCGAGACCTGAGAATTTTCAACTACATATATCTATCTTAAACTCTTTAAACTATAAACGCATGTTTCTTCATCCATACTAATATTATAAATTTGTTTGTTTGTTTGTTTGTTTTTTTTTCTTTCATGTCGAAACAAGACAACGGTTTGACACACGCTACCTTTTATATCTAAAACCATCTTTCTCTCGGGAAACTGTTTTATTATTATGAGTATTGGTAAAATTACGTAACACTTTAGAAAAATTGACACTTTTCCTTGAACATGCGCGAGTTGTAAGAGTAAAAGATATTATATTATACATGTAGCTATTCTTTTAAGTAGGCATGTATAATAAAACAATATTTTTTGGCGAGCGAAACTCTGGTTATCGCGTTTGCTCAAAACATTCTCGGAAACACAAGACTATAATATCACCAAACATGCGATTAAGAGAAATCAAACAACAAATATAGAAACAAGTCTATCTACCCTATAAGGCGGGAGTCGTAATGATATAATTGTCCGGCCCATATAAATCTACTCCATTAGGCTTGGCCAATATAAAACAATATCCTATAGTAGTGAGGAAACAAAGATTTAAGTTAAACCTTACAATCCATTCAAACGAAAATTACCCTTATTGCTAATCGATAAGAACTTTATTAATAGTATATTGCATGTTTCCTTTAGGTCAGCTTTTTGACTGTCATAAGAATTTCAACCTTTACTTAAAGACATAAGAATTATGGTGACGACATGGTGTTTGTCGGAGCGATGGGCGCGGGGGCAGTAACCTCGGACGAGTTTACTTATACGGCATGGGATCATGAAAGCGCAGGGTTGTCAAACAATATTTATTTAAAGTTAGGATCGTCTCGGAGGTGATAAATCAAAACATTCAACACACATATGAGTAGACTATTATCAAAGCCGGCAATGTGACTTTTGGACAATTATTGGTAAATCAGAAAAACGAATTATTGACTTTGTATTCCATTGGCAGTCACAAAACTCTTCTGGGCGACATCTTAGATAAATAACAGGTTAAGTATTAACCTTTATTTAATGCAGGTTTTGAACCGTATTCTTTGAAGGAGACGATTATATTCAAATCAATCTGTATTGACATATCAATAACATTTTTTTGTCCAAATGCACAGATTGCCACCTTTGATAATAGACGACTCATATAGCTCAATGGTTATATGCACATCATTCATTCTCGAAATCGCGGGTTGCACACTGAGCACTTGGCCATTTCACCGTAGGCAACCTGTTAACAATACATTTACGTTTTAATGACAGGAGTGACCGTTGATATTAATTAACACGCTTATTTTTTTGACTTACAAACTATGATGTACTTAACAAATGTTCACAATTGACTTCCACGGTGAAGGAATAACGTCGTGTAATAAAAATCAAACCCGCAAAATTATAAATTGCGTAATTACTGGTGATAGGACCTCTTGTGGGTCCGCGCGGGTAGGTACCACCGCCCGGACTATTTCTGCCGTGAAGCAGTAATGCGTTTCGGTTTGAAGGACGGGGCAGCCGTTGTAACTATACTTGAGACCTTAAAACTTATATCTCAAGGTGGGTGGCGCATTTACGTTGTAGATGTCTATGGGCTCCAGTAACCACTTAACAACCAGGTGGGCTGTGAGCTCGTCCACCCATCTAAGCGATAAAAAAAGAGCAAATTGGAAATATATTTGCGGTGTTTTTACAACGACATATGAAAGGCGATTTGTCGTTGTCTCTGTCATTGACAGTCCGCTGCAAAGAGACACAGCACCATGAAAGCAAGATAACAACTGCATTTATTAATAAGCTCGCGATTATCTATTGGATTTCTGATTAGTGAATGAGTAATCCCTTTTTCACTTTGATATATTTTTTTAATACTGATATGAGTGAACGAGCTTACGGCCCTCCTCATATTAAGTCATTATCGATGTCAATAGGCGTGGGTGACGCAACCCACCCTAAGGTATTTCTCAATTGTACAGTAATTACGCAGTTTGTTTTGATTTTTTAGTACGATGTTATTCTTTTATAGTAGAAGTCATTCATGAACAGGAGCATATGTATTTCAGTCGAAAAAATTGGTAACTGCGGGATTTGAACACCGACACTATCGCATCGTTCGATACGAATGCACCGGGCGTCTTATCGCCTAGTCCTTGATGACTTTGACTTATTATTATTACAAATAATTTTGTGGAAAGGTATTTTTTGGCATTACTAATTAAGCCCATAGAAACAACTCTCAACCAGGTGAATTTCTCGCGGGATTTTGTCGAAACGCGATTCCGATACGGAGGTGAATTCAGCGAAGCACTGCTCTTCCTAAGGGTAGTGTTATCGAATTCACTCACTAGGCTATCAACGATTGGGTAAATAAAGAATACTTTCACGATTCATTATACGCAAAATAAATTTTCACAATAACAAAATCTATATACATATATATAAAAATGAATTGCTGTTCGTTAGTCTCGCTAAAACTCGAGAACGGCTGAACCGATTTGGCAATGGAAGTCCAGAGAAGGTTTAAAAGGTAGATAAATATGAAAATGCTCGGAATTATATAAAAACAAACAATTTTGGTTTTCCTTTGACGTGTACCCCCCAGGTCGGACGGATTCATTTTGTTTTCTTTCATTTATCGATTGAGGCACTGCGAAGTCGACCGGGTCAGCTAGTTAATTAATAAAAATTAAAATGAATCTCGACAGCCCTACAGGGAACACAT